CGCGTTAAAGTGCCTGGGAAGCACCTATTCTGCGCAATTAAATTATTATCCTACCCATACCACAAGCATGCTCAGTTCCTCTGAAGAAACTATGAAGTATCTTGGGGATTTCGCAACCCAAACGGGGTTACGGCGGAGGAAACCCGGCTCGAGCGCCTTCAATATGGAAAGGATAGTTACTTGTAGTTAGTAACCCATGTGAGCTTTCAAACGGTCTTAATGAATCGAAGATAAAATCCTCCAGATGCTCTTACGATCGCATAGAACTGTAGAACAAGGCAACGAAGGGAGGAAAACTCGAAATGAAAGTCAGGAAAAGGCAAATTCGAGATGGGAAGAAGAGAGAAACTGGCCTTGAAGATAGATCGGCATGCAAATGGCCGTAATTTGGCATCCACTTCTAATAAATGAATGCCCCAGAGTAAGAATCCCGAAGTCCTCTCCTGATAGTTCCAAGGTAAGTTATATGATTGACCAATTCACTTCTTGGTGGCATCCGGCGCTTGACTGCAATGTTTGCATAAGCATGGCCAACGGAGACATAGCCGTGTTTACTGCTGTCTGTTTGTAGACGTAGAACATCTATAAAGTGTGTTTTCTGCAGGAGAGACAGCCCATCTCCGTCAATTAAGAGTTCTCCGTTCGTTATTTAGGTCCAGATCTATGAAATTCGGGTGCTGCTGTTAGGTGGAGTTTACCGAGAACTAGAAATCTGACGATCAGAAACTAAATTTAGAATCACAAAGCTTTGATTATTGATTTGTATGTCTTCTCTCTGACGAAAGAATATGGCAGAGGCGAGGAAGACTCCGCCCAGCTCAAGGGTGTCTGTCAGCTGTGGATTCGGTGATCATTGGCTTTCAGGGAATTTTCATGTCAGGATTGATCAGGAACCAGGAAAAGGGACAGTTTATTCTATGTCGCTGGGTACTTGGTTGCAATGAAGCAGTGACAAAATTGAAATTATAAGAAGCGAAGTCTTTGGATTCTCCGTTTATTAAATAAAGGTGGGAACTTGAAAAGGTGGTTGGGGGTAAGCTTTTCCTGGTTCAGGGGTGACCCCCCTTTCTATTCCATCTTCAACCTCCGTTTTTACCGGCAGTTGATGTTGTAAACACCAAGTCAAAATAAACTCGAAAATAATGCTCCTCAGGGACGATTATTTACATCAACATCCAAAGGCTGCACAGCTGAAAATGGTATATCCCACTGTGTTATGTGCTGGAATATGTGTAAAGTGATGATGATACGAAGCTCCATTCACGGTTCTTATCATCGTTTCTGTCCTTCCCTTGATCCCACCCTTCTGGCCTCTTGATTAGATCTTATTCAGAGGAAAATTAAACTGTCTATGCTAAGTAAAAGCGACAGAAGATTGATTGACCAAAACAAATCCAACAAGAATGGAAGAATGGTTCAATGAATGACTGAAAAATAGACATCGACCCGACTCGGTGAGTGAGATGGGCTATGTGATATTTGAATATAATAACATTCAACCACCTGTCTTCCCCGAGTTTTCGACCCATGCTGAAGTGACATGTGTTTCTAATTTCTTCGATCATCATTCATCGTTTAGTTTATAAAATGGACGTAGTTTAATAGAAAAATGAAAAGAAAAGAGAAAAGAATATGGTTAATACCATTGGATCGAGCAAGTCTTCTTGGGGATCAATCATTCCTCAAGGTAACGTGGAAGAAGGGGTCCATGCAGTTAGGCATCGATTTCAGCATGAGTCAAGCCAGAGATCACTACTAGGGCTTTAGGTACGGGAGCCCCGAGTCTCTAGGCATTAATCGTGCCGCTAATGGCACAACCACCATTTCGTATATTGCGGCGTGCCCATAGTGGTGGCCTTTTTTTTGGTGGTGCCATGGGCAAAGTGGAGTTTTTGAGACTGCATTTCTAAAGAACAGGGAAACTTTGTCGGATTGTTGACGGGTTGGGTGTGTTATTATTATTGTTTTTATAGAGCGAAAAAATCACAATCCACATTGGCAAATAGAAGAAAAACATACGACAGCCGGGATTCGCTGGTGGTCACCCACCCAACTACTAACCGGCCGGCGAGTGGCTTAAGTACGGCTGAGCGGACGGGAAGCCCTGTTTTCCACTCCCTGTGGTCGTATGTGCTATCAATTGCTTCAAAGCAGATTATAGAGCCAGTTTTATTTGGAATAACCGCCACTTACAGTGAAGTCGTGCATCAAAACCCTACGGATATACTCATTCACAAAAACATGGTTGTTGACCGAATGTACTCCGGAACTCCAGGTGCGATTGCATGTTGGGAAGAACAGCGACAGAACCGGGAATTGTGAGAGATAGGTCGCACTGATTGAGTTCCTGAAGGTCGGACAGAAGCAGACGTACTTCCCGCTCTTCATGTCGGGATGGCTGTCTTTCAACTTTTCAAGTGCCTTCGGGGCCGGCTCGCTGAGGTGCCATGGTGATGGTGCGGTGTTGTGTGCGGCACACACGCGGAAAGCCGCAGATCTACGACGATACCTCAGATAGTTTCCGGGGTTCCTTACTTATCCTCTTTCGTGCATCAACTCGCGTCTTCCAACCATCGCTAACTACTCCTTGCAGCACTGTGCAATTGACTGAGCAATCAGCTGGGTTCGGACGACCTGAAAATTCCAATAGAATCACGCCAATCCTTATTTCTTGTTCTGAGAATACACGGAGTTATTCCGACCAACTGTTTCTCCGCAGAAATCACTCGCCCTCGCTTCCCGAAAGGAGCGTCTGGCGTGAGAGGTTTGTTCATCGGGCAAGTTGAAAGAAAGCTCTGTTTGAGGATATCTTTGACAATTTACAACTCAACAGCACCCCTTATTTACAATGCAACGTTTGGAAAAGAAGGCAGTGGCTTCTTTCTGCCTGTCAATGCAGCATAGAAAAAGAAGTTGTAAAAAGAACCTGATTTCCCGAACCGCCGGAGCCTATGATTTAATACACAGGAGAATACAGGAGGGTATTATTAAAGTTGATCATCGTGGTATCTATCAAAAGGGGAAGAAGAAGACGTTAAGGTTGGAAGGGAAAAAAGAAAATCTCCGACACAGGCAGGATTCGAACCTACGCGCCCGAAGGCATGAGATGGTCTAAGTTTACCGAAAGCGGGCCAGATCGCTCGCTCCGGCGGAATTCGAGTCTCACGTATTAACCACTCTACCACTGTGCCTTGGTTACCAGCGTCTGAGTTGTCCGCCCCTGGGTTTTGTACCTGGCCGGTTCCTCTCTGCAACTTGTGGATTCCCAGCATCAGCTAAAGTATCATCTTGCAAGTTTTCGAGAAAAAAAAAAAAAAAAATTTTATATGTATGGGATATTTTGGATGTTTTTTAAATCCGTCAACTCAGATTTATTTTCACTTTTGTGGAGGCTGTGACATTTCCTTAATATAGTTAGTAGTAGCCCGTGACCTAGATCATTGGCTTCTCGATAGGTGTATTATCAGGTCTTAAGTTACACATTGCCATGTACAGATTAAAATACAGCATTCTCCATGGTTGTTTTTATTTTTATTTTTATTTTTATTTTTATTTATTTTATTTATTATTTTATTTTATTTTATTTTTTTTCAATTTGCCTGCCCTCCCAATACTACCTTCACCAGATCTATACTGCCTTGTATTGACAGGAGCAACAGATGAACAGATATAAATTCAGTACCCCCGGGATTGGAGCTCAGCAATCGAATGTCGGCGCAAGTTCCTAGTCCCAACCCAGACTCTGTGGTATCTAGCCAAGCGACTGAATGGGTAGGTAGCATATCCGAGATAAACACTGGAAAAGATACTTCTTGCTGAAACAAAAACAGAAAGAAAATATATTGAAGTAAGGGGGCAACTATAGCGATAGTTGACAAGACCATTTTGGCCATGGTGACGAAGCTTTCTGCTAGGCGATACTCTTGACCAACCCGGGAAAACAAACCTCAATGAAGGAATCAAGGGATATTTACAGTATATACTGATATACTGACTTGGACTGTGCCTGGGTACCTTAGTATCCACGAATAAGTACGGTATTAGATATAATAGGCGATGCACTTCAAGGAGTTACCAAAGTGCTCGGTCTGGATGCTGATTGTCTTGGTATCCAATACCGGCTTTTGTAATGGCTCTCATTTTTTGGGGTGGCCGCCAATTTCCACCGCCAATTCCGTTCATGTAACTTGCCAAACCCGCCAAATAAAGTTGTTACGTTCAGTGCCACACACACACACACACACACACACACAGTTGTTGCATTCATATCGTAGGCATTCTGGAGGATGTTCCCGTTTCTCAAGCATCTTTCAGAGGAATCCGCAGATTGTGAAAAACCAACACCCGTTCAATTGAGAATGACTCCGCTCTTTGCTGAAATGCACACATTTAAAAAACAAGAAGCTGAGCCAAAAAGAAATATAGAATCTACGGCCACATTTGTCGAACTGTCTGGGAGTAAAGAATTCAGGGGCTAATCAGAACCCAAGAATATACATCCACGTGGAGTGTGAAGGCGAGCTTCGTCACCCGCCGAAGACGAGCTGTTCCCACCTTTGTGCTAGCGCCGTGATCGGGCTGAGCCTTGGGATGTGTCTTGGAACCTCACGATCACTGGACAGAACCACGGCAAGCCACGGGGATGGCCTGCATTTGACGAAGCTGAACATTTAACTCGGCCATTCCATGAGGAGATCATCATGGAATGGACAGGCTGTCGGCAAATCATCCGGTTTTCGCTACCATGTCCCAAGAAGAAAACACGAAAGCAGCCCAGGAGTGGACAGCTGGCAGGTCTTGTCCATTTTCTGCGCATTCAAAAGCTTCTGCTTGGCTCCTTTCGAGACTAACTCTTGTTAGTTCTCGGATTCAGAATATCGATCTCTTTTCCTGAACAGGGCAGGGTTGTCCTCTTTCATCGTAATCGCTTCTCGTTTATGAGACCTTCGTCTCAAGATATTCTTTGAGATAGACCTCACAGTCATCGACCACGTACCATGATGACAAGCCGTGTCGTCAAAAACCAATTAATTTTCCGCGTTTCAGATCCAAACAAATCCTCGAAGAAAACCGGGGGAAAGAGTGGCGAACCAAAAGATGCTGTCTACCATGCTCGTCGGCCCCATCGCAAGTCCCGAACTGGCTGCTTGAACTGTAGAAAACGGAGAGTCAAGGTATGTACCGAGAGGTTGGGTAACGATTGGTTTCCCTAGTTAAGAATCCCATTTCCCGAAAGAACTTGGCGCGTTCGCGGTACAGCATGTGTTAATAATTTCCATTTCTAGTGCGATGAGACAAAGCCAAAGTGTCGAAAATGTGACACGCATGGGATATGCTGTGACTACGTCGTAGCTCTAGCCCAACCTCGTCGAACAGGATCACTTGCACAATTTGGTCGGGAGGCAACTCGTGTCGAGATTTCGCTTTCGGGTATGCAGTTATCCGTGTCCATGGTCGATTTGGCCGATAGAATTGAACGGGTGATCCGACCCAATATGTCCAGATCAACAACCCATAACACCGTAAAGTATTTTAGTCATTTCAAGACCATGGCCGCGCAGGCTTGTTCGTTGTCAAACACCCATAAGCTAGTCATGGGCGGCGAAATGATCCAGGTTGCTTTCCAGGTACTGTACAATCCGTTTGTCATTTCGGCTATACCCCGTTTAAACGGCTAAAGCATGTTCTCTCATTAGGCCCCGTACCTCATGCATGCTATTTTCGGAGTAGCTTTAACGCATCTCCGCCATCTTCTGCCACATGACAAAACGTATGCCATATTTGCGGGGATCCACTGGCAACGTGCAATACAACTATACCGAAAGGAAATCTCGAAGTCAATCGACGAACACAATATGGACCCTCTTTTGTCTGCCTGCATGCTATTGAGCACTGTCATTTTCGCCGCCGATGAATGCAATCCTTCTGACTCTTGGATATTTTCGTCGGACCCCACAAAACTTAGTTGGCTTCTTGGCCAATCCGGGCTGCAGTATATCCTCGAAGCTGTCTCGGAGGAACAACGACGACAAAGCATATGGCTCAAAGTTTTCCAGGAGTACGATGATGCGGATTGCAGCTCCAAATGCAACACTCCCGGCCTGGATGGATTGCACCGGGGACTAGCAGAGCTGTGCCAGATCAATGAAACGACCACTGGTGAGACCAGTCCATACCACTGGCCACTTCGATTGCTTAGTCCGATGTTAAGTCTCAGACCGGACGGAGGTAACTTTTCAAAGTTGATCCCATTCATGGGGAGACTGGAGCCAGCTTATACTAGTCTCCTCCAGAAGAAAGATCCCAAGGCACTGCTCATATTAAGCTACTGGCTCGGGAAGATGTGTGAAGAGAAGCAGTGGTGGATATACTCCAGAGCCCATTCTGAATGTTTCGCAATTTGCATGTATCTCGAACACAATGAAGATGAACGAATTGTGAATCTGCTCCGGTACCCCGCTGAGAGATGCGGCTATATTTTCGACCCCCCCATTCTCGATGAAATGATCGGCCAAGAACGTATCCATGCTATTGATTTCCCTTGACCCGGGTGGGGGATAATGGATTTCCGATAGCCACGGCGTATCGACGGTAGCTGGGTGCTGTTTCTCATCCTACACCGATTGTTTCGGGTGGCCAGTTCGGGCGGGTGGTTTCCGGATGTTGTTGTTTCATCAATGGGTGTAAGTTGCGGTGGTACTACCAAGGCGGCAATGGTAGCAAAATGTCTCAGAAGCTTCGAAAGTTTAAATTCGAAAAGGCACTCTGAAGTTTAAAAAAACTCTGGGATATATTTACCCCAGAGTTAAGTGACGATTTCGGCAGGACGTTATCGAATTCTGAACCCATTTTGGTTCCCCTTTGTTGAAATGGAAAAGCTAAAGCGACGCTCATATTTGATCTAGTTTTAGATGCAAAATCATAATAATGTCAGTCAAATGCGTCCGTTCCCTTCCAAAAATTAAGCCAACTTTGCCGATCTGGGCTTCTCCAAAAAATACGACAATTAACTTGAACTGTCAAAATCACCTCTTCCTTGAAGCTAGGAAATAGCGCAAGGCCAACAGTGAGCCGGCATTCGACTTCTTCGCAGGCTTAGATTCCATAAACGATATTTTATCCTTCCACTTTTTGATTCTGCACATGGAAATTCTGCTAGGGGATTTTAAGACAAACAATAGGAGAGCCCAGGTGTATCAGGGCCTTTTGCCTTTAGTTGTCTATATAATTACTGTTAGGATCTATGGAATATGGAACTAGCCTACCGATGCAACCAAAGAGAAGCGCCCAAATATCCCTTTTAAGTCCTTGATCTTCTCAATACCAACGACGTTGGGAGCAGGTTGGAAGTTGATCTATCAATTTTGGTGAACCGGTACTTGGATCTTGATTGGAGTGCTAACAGAAGTCTGTCATTGGGCGAGACTCAAAGTGACCTATCAAATATTGAATGAAACCCTGGCAACGTAGTTGGCCCTGGAAAAGGGTCATGTAAATCCCATGTGTCTCCCTGTACTCTTCCAAAAAGAAGCATTGACTATTTAGTAATCCTGAGGAGAGCTGAAGGGGGATGGATTCATGGATGTGCTATCGCATACCTCCTCAAGACAGATTGCCATGTAGCGGAAATTCCGCATTGGCAAATGAGGAGACCTTAGCCCATTGAGTGTTTTATCGCAAACTCCGTCGATGGCTGGTAATTTCCTGGGGAGGCTGACTGCGAAATAGAGCCGTAAACATTTGGATCGATGGTTCCAATTGTGCTCTTGATGATCCCGTCAACAGTAAAGAATAGTTATCCATGAGACAACTGCGCTGCCATAAAATATGTGTTTCCTCCACAAGCAAACGCAGGCGCGGCATGTTGCTCGTGCCCCTTTTCACCACGGATATTTGCACATATTCCTCGTTCATTTCATGGGGCCAATAATAGAGTAAACATTTGAAGTCAAAGCCGGCGTGTCATTGCCCAGCTACCGGTACCCTCCCAGATCTCCCAGAGCCCGGGGGTTCACTTGCATTGGCCATTCCACGTTCATTTTCAAGGGCCTTCATCTCCATGGATATATGTGATATATGTTCCCGTCCAAAGCGAGGGCAGGTCTCTCTCTCTCTCTCTCTCTCTCTCTCTCTCTCTCTCACAAATATTCAAGCATAGAAGCAACCCTATATTCCACCAACTACTTCGCGGGACAAGTTAAATATCCCAATCCTACCAACTAATAACTAGTTAAACCAACTTACATCAGGGCTCGCTTAGTTAGCTGTTTGGTTTTTATTTAAATAGATCGTTAACAAACAACAGGAATCCTCCGAGACCTATCAACTTGCTCTTCTTTGTCAATCATCGACATTAGCTTGTTAAATATCCTGCGGACTCCAACGAGAGAGCTACGGAATATTTACCCAAAATGCCGGACTCCTCTACTAGCTCGAACTCCTCTGGAGGCTACACCTACAAGTCCTCTGGAACACAATTCATTAACCGCTCTCTGGGTTAAGTAGCAGTCTCATTTATCTCGCCCGTTGCATGGAATCTGGATGCTTAGGGAAATCACTATTGTTCCCGCGACTACGGCTCCGGAGCCGCCAACTCCAACTCCTACCACTACTCCAACAGGTGAGTTTCCGCACAGTCCCCAGAAAATATACCCCCGTGTATTTACGGAATAGCCGTGAGGGAGGGATGGATGCATCGTTGGCGGTCCTGTCCTCGGTGCACTCACACTCACTGACTGACCCTTGATCTTCTTTCGTCTCCTTGTTCCTGCAGCAGTGGCTCCTATTACTACCAGCAACCCCAGTGGCAGCACCTATTACAGCAACGGCAAAGGCTCCTCCACCTACACCGCTCCCAGTGGCAGCAAGAAATAGGCCTACGCTGTCCCTTGCTGTCAGCCAGTGGGAAGTCCAATGAAGGAGATGGTGGGAAGTTCATGATCTGAGGGGGATAGTTTAGGGACCTGAAAGGTGGCTTTTTGAAATTATCCCGTTGTGTTTTGACTTGAGTAGTTTTGGATATATATATATATATATATATATATATATATATATATATATATATATATATGGATGAGATACCCCTCATACTACTTTAATTGGTCTTATAAGGGCTCTCGGCGATCGCGTTGGATAGGATTGGCAGTTGAATGTCTTGATATGTAACTTATCTTGCGCTCTGGCACACGAACTAGGGCTTTTCGACCCCAGATAAATTCAGTGAGTTACATTGATGCATCTTTTCCCCGTAAACTCCTGTGTAATAGAAGGGCATTGAGGAAGAATTAGCTATTTAGCTTGGTGAGGACATGGTGCTGGGAATATCACCCTGACTCGCCCACAACAAATGGCAACTGAGCTATCATCAGAATCTTCACCAACTTGTGAAAATCCATGAGTTACTGCACAATGAGTTATCCCTTTTCCTCGCTCTCTTCTTTATTCCGCAATCTGCCGGCTGGAAGCCGATGAACGGCACGTAGTCGCCAGCCTTTAATTTGAGGCAGACTTCCTCATATCTTGGATTCCTCCGGCTCCCCACATCTCACGTCCCCAGCATTGACAATAATGAAGTTCTCTAGAAAACGAACGTGGTCTAAGACGGAGCTTACCTCTAGCAGTAATGTGCTGCCTCCACTGCAACCTCCGCGGCGTGTCGAGACCGGAACCAGCCCGTCGAACAACCCTTACGGCGGAAATGTCACTGCCGTCTATCAACCGCCGGAGAACAACATGGCCTTTGATACTCCCCCAGGTCCCCCAGACGTCCCATGATTTAAATCTGTTTGGATTTACCAGTCGCAAATCGGCGGCATGACCGGCTTGTAGAAAACAAAAAGGTTGTTGTAGACTATCTTTCTTTTTCCAAATCTCATCTGTAAATTCCTTCGATTACTCAAAAGACGTCCTGCACTTTTTTTTATCAGGGGCATGTTAACATTGACCAAAGCTACCCCTTTATACAGACAAAATGTAACATGGAGAATGACAATGACAATCCTCCATGCAAACGTTACCTGGAGCGCGGTTTGCCCTGCTCTCCCAACAAAAACGATGCGTGCCGCACTTCTTCCACCCCATCCATGTTCGCCTCTTCATGGCTGTATTTCTTCTCAAAGGAGCGACCCGGTACAGAGCGCATGTCGATGTCGACCCAGTTCTGGTGACTAGCACGAGCAGGAAGGTTCTCGATGTTTTCAGCCACTGTCCCTGTGCGAGACAGCATCTCGTCCACCGGACTGTGGGCCGGTTGAAGGAATTGATTGTGCGGTGTGAGGCGCGACTCGCGCAGGACGTTCAGGGAAAAAGGGTGGAGGCGATGTAAATCACAGAGATGTTGGTATATGATGAATAACGATAACCAACAGCAATAGCACGGCGGCGGCAGGTGAATAGCATATCTGAGGAGGTGCAGGGCCAATCCACATAACTACAAATCAGGGGCACAATCACAACCACAGTCGTAATGGCAATTCCCTGGATGATGGTTCCCATTCCAATGAGCTCACTGAGTGGTTTTATTTGGGGAAATGTGATTTCCTGTCCACGTTGCCGCCGTCGTGGGGAACGAAATGTTGATTCCTGACATGGTTTACGTTGTATATTAATGATTGATATCCACAACCTGAGCTGTCCTGCAGTTTTTGACTGGCCCCCCCCAAAAAAAAAATTCAAGAGATACATCTGCTCGACATGTATTATCCATTTTACCCTTTCTCTGCTTATAGCTCCTTTGATACGCAAGCCCCCCCCCAAACCAGCACTGAAGTAGGAATCCCCCAGGCAGGTTACTTTCTCCTTTTCGTTCTCCCCCCCCCCCCCCCCTTTACATCTCACTCACGCGATCCACTTTCAATCCGCACCAACGCCCCCTTGGCCTTCAACTTACAAAACCACAGATTCTCCTCGGCAAACATCCACATCCCATCTGGTGCAAAGCAGAAATTCGCCGTTTCGCCACCAACAACAATCTTCCCCACCAGAGTCCCTTCACTATCCCAAACATGCACCCCATCTCCGCACCCAGAATACACATATCCTTTCTCATCGCACTTGATCCCATCCGGCACCCCCTGGTGACAATAGGCAAACAGCCGCCGATTCGCCAACTTCGTGCCGCCTTCAACCACATCGTAAACATAAATAGAAGCCAGGCCCGTGCCGCGGAATGAAAAATTATGCCCATTGCCGATTCCATCGTGGGCCTGTATCGCGCCCGTATCCGTGACATACATGCGCTTGTAGTCCTGGCTGAAACAAAGCCCATTGCACATCTCAAACTTGTCCGCGACGGCCCAGCATTGGCCCGTTGCCGGACTGAAGCGATATACTTGTTTTGGCAAATAAGGAGTCGGGCGAAATGCCTGCTGGTACCCGTATGGCGGGTCCGTGAACCAGATGTCCCCCGTACCGTGGTGAACGACGACGTCATTAATTGAGGAAAATTCACGGCCGTAGAAGTTGTTTAGAATGGTCTCTGTGGTGCCAGCGACGGGGTCGACAAGAACTAGGGCGGATGGCTTGTCGCTGCTGCTGTCACTGCCATCGCCTTTCGACCGACCAATATCACCCTGGGCGCAGTAGAGGACCTTACCCTGGTAATTACAACCGCCATTAGGCTGGCTTACGGCGTCGAAACCGGGCTTACAGTTGAGTTTCTCGATGTGCCAGGTGTCAAGGTTAATAGCGTAGAGGTCGATCGTGGGGTCGCTGGTTTGGTAGTTGGATGTGAAATAGACGCTGTTTGTGCTTGGTACGTAGACCCCTGCTTCGTGGGCGAACCTGTCATTCTGGCCCGTGCGAGAGGTGACTAGGGTAAGCTGCGGGCTGCTGCCGATGACATCGTGGGCGAATTTATCGCTATAGACTACGAAGGAGGGTGGCGAGGTGAAGGAACGCGCATATGAGATATCAGTGGCGGCGCGCTTGTTGTCGACGTAGGTGATGCGGTCGAATGTAGCGACGGGTGGAGAACGGCCGATCGTCATTTTTACGGTTTAACTTTATTTTGCGCAGTTTGTGACAAGGGAACTGGGCAGCGGTTTGAGGAGTTGTAGCTAATGGCATTAAACTTGAGAATTGACGTCGATTGATCAAACCGAGTCGCATGAAGCCTTGTCGGCAATTGAGCCGTCCCTGAGGTTTGTTGCAGTCAGCACCGAGAGGAGGGAAACTGTATGCTGCACCCCGCTGCACCCGGCGGAACGTAAGGGAGAATGGAACCAGGAAGGGGTATATTAACATATGTCTCCAGCAATCTCTATATTTACTCTATCGCAGGGCGAGCCGTTGTTCTCCACAGGAGAGTTTCCTTGGTTTGCGTGCGGCAGAGATTTCCACCATGTCCAATGAGGCCGGCTGAAGATGTAGTTACCGGTTCTCCAACTTCTCCGCTTCCTCCCAATTGACTGACTGGCCCTTTGCTTCACCGGTGGGTGCCTACAACTTTCTAAAGAGGGGCCATGCAGACCCGATGAGGGGTTGGGGCTACTGGGAAACGGAGCAGAATCATCGCCGAAACCGGTGCTATTCGTACATATCATTGAATATCTAACCCCGATATCTCCAGAGGCAAGAGTCGAAAATACAGCGCAACTGCATATGGGAAGTAGGAAGAACCATATATCAATGTCCACCTTCGTCCTAGCTACCTAGAGTGGATAATGTATGAACGTAGAGATAACATACGCAGAGGCCTTGGTCCAGGTACCTGAGTCAGGGACAGAAGATAGGGGAAAAGAGAGTGTGTAAACGCAAGTTGAGAGAGAGAGAGAGAAATGAAATACGCCTTTGGAAGTTGCTGAACTTCTCGCATACATAAACATGGGGCGAGCTGTACTACACCGATAAAAGAGACGCCAGCCCATGATTTGAAAACATATATAATTAAAAACCGTTGTCAAGCAGGAAAAAGGGAGAGAATTGTAGCAAGATCGAAAATGGAAGCAGGCAAGGGGAAATGAGAACATCAAAAAAAAGAAGCTTCTGAAGTGTACATATTTAGTCGAGATCTTGGGAAATCCGAAGGCTGGGAAATAAACCGAGTTGGGTGTGGATACTATGTATGCTGAGGACAGCTCGATGGATGAAAAAGTGGGTAAATCGGTTCGTGGAATGGAGCCGACGAGCTGGAGGAGTGACAGGGCACACAAAAGAAATAGGACAGGACGGGGGATTGAATTAGAGTAGTGCGCCTTAGACAAGCCATGATGCTACATGTGAGAAAGACACAAATTGGAAAGTGAAAATGCCCCTTACTCCTCATCCTCATCCTCACCATCGTCCCCGTGATCCTTCATCTCCACATCGTTATCCTTATCTACCCCCTCCTCCTCACTCCCAGCTTTCTCCCCAGCCTCATCGCCACTAGCCTCTCCGAAAAGGTCATCAGCATCATCCCCACCCGGCGACGCAGCTTTCTCCCCTCCTTCCTCTTCCTCTTCATCCTCCTCCTCATCTACGACACGAAGATTAACCTTCTTCCGCCGCCGCTGAACAACGGCATCCTCATCCTCGTCTTCCCCATCACTAGCAACGTCGCGCATATCCTCATCCCTATCCTCAACTTCTGAAGAAGAGCCGGCGTCCCCAGGCCCCCCATTGGCAGACCTAGCTTGATCACCTTCCCCACCTTCTCCCTCCTCACTCTCCGACTCAACAACAATCTCACTACTCTTATACTTACTTGACCTAACCGCAGACCGTCTCTCCAGTCGTCTCCGTTTGCGCGGTGCCGGCTGATCCTCCGCATCAGAATCCACCACACTCTCCGGACCCGTACTCCGATCCTTCGACTTCCTCCCACCACCACCACCACCGCCGCCGCCATCAGCAGCACCATCATCACCATCCTTCTTCTTCCTCTTACTGACAGCCGCCCTCTTCTTCCTCTTCACCTTATCCCCCGTTTCAGAATCGGTAGTATACTCCGCTTCCTCCCTCGCCTTCTCCTCCTCAGCACGTATGGCCGCAAGCCGCTGCGCCTCCTCAATCAACCGCTGTCGATCCTCAGCAATCTGCCGCTTCCTCTTTCTCTCAACCTCTTCCGCCTTCCGCTTCTCCTCCTCACGCCTCTTCAACTCAGCCTCCCGCGCTTCCCGGGCCTGCTGCAGCTTCGTCGCGTTCTTCTCTTCATACTCCTTCTGGCTCTGGAGGGTCCGCTCGAGCTTTCTCCGCATGGTATTTCTGCCCATATTCGCCCGTTGCTCCAGGGCGCCACGTGGGTAGGGGGGTTTCTTGGCCTTGGAGATTTGGGTGAACGTGTTGATCGCCTCATCTAGACCTTTGGATGCAGCTTGGACGTCTTGGAGAGTCTTTTGCGTTTCTGGGAGGGAAATGACAAGTAAGGCGATCTGGTTTTGGACGAAAGCGACGTTGAACTCGAGATGAATTTGCTCGGGGGCGATGGCGCGAGCGCGCTGCGTACAATCCAGAGCGGTGTTCATTGCAGCCAGGCTTTTTTCATGCATTCCTCTTAAGAGCCAGACACGACCTAGGCAAGCCAAGATCTGGGTATCGCGTTGTCTGTCCTTGGAGAGCGCGGCCTCGTACTAGATTTGAGTGAGAAAAAACCATAACTCGACACTATGTTTTTGAGCAAATGAAGGATAGTGACTTACGTTCTCAATGGACCTAGTAAACTGCCTCAGCTCAGCATACACGTGTCCAAGGTTAAGATAAACACTCGCATCCCTTAACGTGTCCCGGACACGCGTAAAGATCTGCACCGCAGTCGTATAGTCCTTCCTATCATCAACAAGCGCAATCGCAATGCCCTGTGCGGCATAAGCATTCTTCGGATCAAGCTGCAACGCCTTATCAAAGAACTCCACAGCCTTCTCATACATTTTCCTCCGTTTCTCCTTGTCCTGCTCGGTATCTCGTCTCATATCCCGAGCGGCAAGGAGGTAGATGTTACCCATCCCCGTAAGAGAATACCTATCATGTTTATCATAACCTTGCAGCGTATGTTTGTAGTGTCGCTGTTCATGGTCCTCGGCAATATTTGTTACCCGCTTCTTCGATTTGCTGAGGTACCAGCCAAACAGGGCGCGGACTTCGAGATTGGTCGATTCCAGTTCATACAATTTGGCCATTTTCTTGGGCCCTTCGTCGGTAGGACTTTGGCGAAGTGCGATGTAAGTCAGTCGCGCATTGGCTTCAGTGTAATCACTGTGCCGCTCTAGCAGACCTTCGTACACCTTCTTAGCTTCATCAGGCATAGACGCCGCTTCGTAAGTTCTAGCAAGGTTATAGCTGATCGTCGTGACAAGTGCGTCTGTGTCGGTTGTATCGTCTTTCTCTCGCGACTTCACACATGCATTCAGTGCGGTCTGGAACATATGGCGTGCCTGCTCAACCTTCTCAGCATGATACAAGAAGCAGCCCATATTGTTCAGCAATTGAGGAGATAGATTCTCCCGAAGCAGGTTAGTCATTGTTTCTTCATCGTCGATATCCTCGGGACGATCCGTATCCGGGATCTGACCAAGCTGCATCTGTTCCACCTGTTGCAGACACTGCATGCTCTTATCCGGCGCACTGTTCTCGTAAAGCCGTGCAAGGTAGAGCAAAACGGATTCATCGGGCGAGAGCCTTTTCTTCTCGTCCTTCCATGATGCACGAACAGACTCGAGAAGACTAATAGCTTTCCTCAGCTCAGCTGACTTGTCTTCCTTGAGCGGACTTGCTTCAGCTGCAAACACTTCCTCCGCAAGAAGTGCACCAAGAAGTGTCATTGATTCCGGATTCTTCGTTTGCTGAATGATCTTCTCCAATCGGAACTTGGCCCCATCGTAGTCGCCAGTTTGAACTTGCATCTGGACAGCGCCAAATTTGGCGGGAAGATACCCTTTGTCACTACCACCCCTGGCCTGATCTGACCTGCTGTAATATTCGTTGGCCTTGGAAGCTTCTCCCTCGAAGTGCTCTTTACGAGCCAGTAGATACCATCCATCACTAGCAATCGCGTTGACATCGGTGAGTTCGATCGCCTTGCGGGCAAGGGCTTCGACGGTTGGGAAGTGTTTGCGGAGGAGGAAATAACCGCCAAACATGGCACAGGTTATGGGATACTCCTTGTCCAGTTTATATGCCTTCTGCGTGTACTGCGTCATGGCTAACTTGTATATAGAACCGAAGGACGGGTCGTTAGTTGCATGACGAGAGCTATCGTAGAGATAGTAAGCTCCAAGAAGGATATTCGCAGCCTTAGATTCAGGATTCTGTGTCGTACAGATTGTTAGTAATGTTCTTGAAGTGGATGAGCATGATGGCTGCACGCACCAAAGCCAAAGCACGAGTCCAAGCTGATTTGGCCTGCTCCTTAAAATCCAGCTGCCACAGACAGCATCCAATACCAATTCGCGGATCCGGATCTCTCATATTAGGCATCTTCATCAGAACCTCCTGGTAACCTTCCAGCGCCTCCGCATATCTACCCAGCATATAATGCGCCCTCGCCCGACCAAGTATAGCCATAACATTCCTGTTCCCGAAAGCCTTAGCTGACTCATCGAAGCATTTCAAAGCCTGTCGCAAGGACTCTACTCGTTCCGAAGTATCTACCGTCCCGGGCCTAATAGTCCTCGCGGGGGGATGTAACGAGGCGCGCAATAACGACAAAACTCCCCGTGCGAGAAACAGAGGCGGAAACGCGGGATTTAGCCGCGACGCCTCGTTGAGAATCGACGTAGCAGCTTGGAGGTAGAAATCCTTAGTTTTTGCTTCAGACACCAGCTGGCCCTCCAGGGCCACACGAGGAGCCTGCCTGGCTTTCAGCATGTATAGCCAACAGATCCAGCCTAGCAGGCCGAGCTTCTCCTTGGTCATTCCCTGGGCAAGGGACGAGAGACCCCGATTGAGAATGTCGATGGCATGGTCAATTTGGTTTTGCTTCGCATATGCGAGCGCGATGATGACCCAAAAGTTCTTTGCGGCTTTTTCGTTGTCGAGGAGGGTGCAGAGTTCAGTGGGGTCGTCGGGGAGCTCTTCGAGGCTTATCTCGACTTCGCTGTCGAAGGTGGAAGCGGGGATGTCGATGGCGGAGGGAATATCAGAGAAGCGGGAGCCAGGTGAAATGGAATTTTGCTCCGTAGATGAACCGTTTGTATAGCCATTTTGTAGAGGTGCCATGGTTGAAAGCGCAGGGCGGGTCTGGGGATTGAAGGGAGAGACAGAGGGTATGAGAAGAGGCAAGGCGGCGCGAGGGATAGGCCTGCAAGGGGACGACCGGTGGAAGGCCTAGATCATTATCGGAGATGTCAGTGGAATACGCTGCATGCCACAAACAAAAGCAGGCCGTCTGTGGTAGTTAGTAATAAGTAGAGTAAAGAGGAATGTCTGTATCCCGACGGATGTTGACTTTTGATCTGCTTCTAAAGTTAATGGAGATGTGGCTTGGTTTGTGAACAACAGAATCACCAGCCACAACACGCGCCACGTAAGAATTTTGGCGTACTGCACGTGATCCTCAAATCCCGTGACCTTGGGGCTGCGTCTACGGGGGAGTAAACACAAAGTCCATCAAGAGCCAAAGTACAGGCAGCAATGATAGTTTATGATATTGATCATTGCTGTTGGAATATCATAAGAATAGAGCAATGCCGATGGCACCGAAATATCCTCTGAAACTAGCTGTTTGCAACTCTGCCAATACTATTTATCGCGTGAGCAGATAGTCCGAGGTCGCTATTATCAAACAACACGACGAATCATCCAAGTAATAGTATTAATATTCCAAAATCTCCCTTTTCCGGGGGAACCTCGACTATATCATTACCGTTCTATCCAACAAATGAAAACAAATTATAGAAAATGAAAACTACAAACCAAGTAGCAAAAGTATCCAAAAAATCCAACGCAGCTACATAAGTCCTCCCTTTCCAAAAAGGACAGCTTATAGCAAAGGGTATATCCCACAACATACACCAAAATCCAAAAACACATCATTTCCAAAACCTAGGGAGCTGACAAAACACAGCACCCAGTACCGCAAGAACGGCAAATATCTGCAACGACTCCGCCCACCACGATAACTTGACTTCAGACTCGAAATAGCTGGGGTTATTAGCCGTGACTTCTTTGTCACTGCCAGTGCCACTGTGGTTATGCTGTACTTCACCATCCATCAAATCAGACTCCCACTCACACGGCGGGAACCGGCCCGTCTCATAGAACTGTTCGAGGAGGTCATCCTTCTCCCTCCAGCGTTGGAGGATCCACCCCTCGAACTCGTTCTGGTCGTCCAGCGGGATTTCAGAGATGGGGAAGCGCCTCCAGTAGAAATTGACGACTTTTGGGGGACGGCCTTGGATATATGTGGAGCGGATGGTGAAGAAGGCGTCTGGGTAGCTTCCCTTCCTAGTTATATGAAATGGACTGTTAGCTCTTGGCCATTTATTAGGAACTGGGTTTTGAAATCTTACGGTGGGCCCTCATATCCAACTGTACAGTCATATACCCAATCAACGGTGCCTTTGAGCTGCTGCAAGCAGAAGAATAACCCTGTTGACCGTGGAAGAATCTGATGCCGCAATGGTGGAATCCCATGCTTTTCACCGTACCCATCGCTAATGCGCTTCGTATTGCGGGACAAATTTGTTCCCTCGGGAAAAATAAGAAGCCACATTGGATCCAAAATGCGCAAACCAGGTCTGCTACAACTCTCATGGTACGTTTTCAATTTCTCCAGCCGATGTTGCAAGCGTGGTTTATCCGCTGCCCATTTTCTCGCCATGAAGATGAAGCCGTAGAACATCATCCCCTGGCCGATTAGGGGGATGTACTTCAGTGACTCCTTGAGAATGATGTAGATGTGCCCGTGCATCTGAGCTGTGTACGAGAACCACCATAAGTAAAGCCAATCCGTGTAGACCTGGTGGTTAGCAATCATCACAATCCGATCGGGGAAATACGTCTTCAACTTCGCGCCACCGCTGGCGCTGCCGCCTCTCGTCAGTCCAAACTGGCCCTGCACGCTCTTATCCCCGCTGACGCGGATGGGGGTTGGACAGCCCCATTCGGTCAGGGCGGTGATGGCGATGCCGAAGGAGCGTTTAGTCATGGCCATGTATTTGTTAAAGTAGTGGCGGTTGATGAAGAAGAGGGGTGCGCCTATAAGTTGGGTGATGATAATGCAAAGGCAACAACAGTTGAACCATGTCATCAGGATGAGGCTGCGAAGGATCTGGATGGCGAGGTTGTAGTTTGCTGCTGGGCGGTGGTGGATGTGGCCCACCACTTCCTTAGGGGAGCCGTTCATCTTGGGTTGTGCCATGCTAGCTTTGAGTGGCTTTGCCGGCTAGTTAAAATAAGATGAATATTCAGATGCTTAGTATATATATCAGAGGAACAACGAGGCCGAGATGATAATGGGAATTTTCCCTTCTGCAGAAAGCATAGATTTTATTGAAATTGTTTGGCCTGCTGGACAGTTGCTGGCGAGGATTTGGGTGGACAGGACAGGACAGGACAGGACAGGACAGGACAGGATTGGGATAGGCTGATAGGTTGGAAGAGCGGCGAGAAACAGCTTCTCTCAGAGTCACAGTCGACGTCACTGGAGCCTGGGGTGCCTGGGGTGCCTGGGATGCCTGGGCAGCTCAAGACATGGGATGACCGGGTAAGGGGTGAGCAGCAAGCAGGGGCTCTGGGCACTGGAGACTACAATATCATGTTTAATAGATAAAACTAACTAATAATATATATCATCTGAATGGCAGTCCTGACGTATCGAACACTCTGTAAAAAGTTTGGGAGTGAGGGGAACGTTCCGTTTCAATGTTCCACGTCTCGGTGTTTGTTTGTGGCCCAAGCTTAAGGCCAAACCAAGCAGCACGGGCCACCTCTGAGCCGCCCACCTGGCCAATCATGTGCCAAGAGCCGCAGGTCAGGTGATGATGACTCAGCTAGTGTGTCGGATTTAGGTTTTGCCGGCAGCACCGCTTAGGAAAGGAAACGGCTGATGATAGTTAACTGACTATTAACTAGTTAAAACCACCGGATTCCATCAACATCTCGCTTTCATGCAGTAATTATGCATCGAACAGTTTCCGACTTCCATCTCTACCATGCTCCCAGTTCCCAGCTTTCTCCAGTAAAACTGCCGCGACTCCATCCTACGTCCGGGTCAAGGGAAGACGGCTCACCATACATTAATTTGCAGTATACCATGCTCAACACCTAGCAGAAGCATCTAGTCTATTTTCGGTTTCTTTATTTTGTTTGCATGGCCGTACGCGCCGTACCCCTGCCCTGATCATTTGTGAAGTAATTAGGCAGGGAGCCGGTGCAGACTCAACGGTTTGGGGGGAGTATGGCATTAATTCATTGTCAGTAAACGTGTATTCAGCTCCCGCATTCGACGAATACGCCCTCCCCCTCCGCAGATACTTACTTATTCTGCTGGCATATATATCTAGACCCTTGATTTCTCGAGTTTTACGCCCCGCGCACCTCCTGCACATAGCATACATATAGCATTCCACTCCATACCTGGGACTGTACATACATATAATGGTACTTGCCATTCGAACCTGTCCCAAGCGGATTCCCTTCTTGGGCGGACTGGCCCCGGGTCTCCAGTGGCGTTCTTTATCTGCAGCGGCCCAGCTCCGCCAAATCGAAGATGTCGCCCGTCTGCCAGACTCAGTGAGCCCCCGGTATGAAGGTGTGCGTCTATTTCATCTTCCTACTCCTGCACCAAATATACATTATAATATGCTTACGCATTTTGGACGTCGTATATAGAATTACCCGGAAGTGACCTCCTGGCTCTCAAGTGGCCGAGACCACCGCAGAATGTCCTGCTTGTTAGAAAGAAAGGGGCGCCGGAGGTGACACAGTCGCTCATTGAGTTTGTGAAGTAAGGTTTTTGGGTCGGGGTTATTTTTATTTATTTATTTATTTATTTATTTTTTTCTTTCATGGTGGTACTTTTATACGTTTACGTGCTACTCATATTTGGCTAACAGGTCGATACTAGGCATATAAAATCCACTTATGCGCCCATCTCTATTATTCTCGAGCGCGAAACTGCAGCTGAAGTTCACGATATTTTGTCGTATCCTGTATATACCAACACATCCTCCGAAAAATTACCACCGGAGAAGATAGACCTCACAGTCACGATGGGCGGCGATGGGACCATTCTGCGTGCATCGTCTTTTTTCGCAACGTCCAAATTAGTACCACCCATCCTCTCCTTTAGCATGGGAACGCTGGGATTTCTGGGCGAATGGAAGTTTTCAGAATACAAGGGTGCGTTTCGGGAGGTGTACATGTCCGGTGCTGGACCGGGGGAACGCACCCCCACGTTAGAGCATGGAAAGGAGAGTGAGAGGAGAGAGAAGAAAGGGGCCAGTTCGGATAACACCACCGCCACAGGTTGGGCCCTCGCCCGCGGCAAGTCGATGGGTGCCACCAGGCCCGCCAAAATCCTCGTCCGCAGCCGCTTGCGCGTTGGCATCTACACTCCAGACGGCCAGCCCGTCCCTATGCACAGCAACGGCACAACAATAACAACGCCCTCCCCCGACCAGAGCCACGACGACGGCATCCATGCCATGAATGAAGTCGTAATCCACCGCGGCAAACAGCCGCACCTGGCCGTTGTCGAAGTCTTCGTCGGCGGCCGCTTCCTCACCGAAGCCGTCGCGGACGGCATGATCGTTTCAACACCCACGGGCAGCACGGCATACAGCCTCAGCAGCGGCGGGAGCATCATCCACCCGCTCGTCCCCTCGCTGCTGCTAACGCCAATATGTCCGCGGAGTCTGAGTTTTCGGCCATTGGTTATTCCGTCGGGGACGCCGGTCACGTTGAGGCTTAGTCGGAAGAATAGGGGGGCCGAGGTGGAGGTTAGTATTGATGGGGTTATGAGGGGGGAGGGGTTGAGGGTTGGGATGGAGGTGAGGGTTTGGGGAGAGGAGATTTGGAAGGGGAGTGTTTGGGGGGGTCTTGGTTCTGGTTCTGGTGGTGGTGATGGAGGGGTTGGGAGGGAGTGGAAGGGGGGCATACCGTGTGTTATGAGGAAGACGTTTGGGAATGGGGATGCGGCAGATGGGTGGGTTGGGGGGTTGAATGGGTTGTTGAAGTTTAATTACCCGTTTGGGTCTGAAGCGTAGGTGGGTAGTTTTCTGTCGTTTTGTTTATTTTTATTGCAGGCAAATGCAAACTGGATGGTAGGCGGGTTTGCGTTCTACATATCCCCCCCATCTACTAGTGTCGTCACCCGTCTCTCTCATACCTACTCAAACCCCGGCCCCCAACCGCCTTTTTATATATATATATATATGTATATATATAGTTTACTCTTTAAGCTGCGGCGGTGATGAGAACTGTATGAAGCGTTCTTCATGATTGGTTTGATTCCTTTCCATTTTGCATAGTAACCGCTGTCTTCGGCATTGGCACAGTTTGTATATACCACACAACACATCATCATATATTTTTAAAGTTGGCACATTAGTTATAGAGTTGAGAAAACGAAAATATAACTTCTATCCTTGGATAATCCCGAGGAAAGATTAATATTTACTTCGTGATTAATCTCCGTATTCTTCTGGTCGGTCTCGTTTTACATCGAGTCCCCTCCAAAACTTAAGTAGCTGCGGTTAGGTACAAAGAGGTCTTGCCTCCCCGGATATGAAACTGGGAACCAGCGACGCTAATCTATATACGGTAATATACTTCCCTAATGCGGCAATTTAATTCCCAGATATGGTTTAGCGTGGCGCGAAGGGCAGCTGTTTCAAGATTGTTCCGCCACACCAGCATTAAAGCAGCTGCTGCCCGATGCCGTTTGTGAAAGGGATGTTTCAATCTCTGACATGGATGCTCTGAACCCTTCTTACCCCCTTCTTTTCCTTCTTTTTTTCGTCTTTTTCATTCTCTTTCATGTTTCCTTTCTTCCTTTCCGTTTGTTCATGGACACCTTACCTAAGTACAGAGCAGGCAGGTAACTGATACATACGATTGCTTATGGACTCGAATATGCGGGGTTGGCGGTAGGCGATAACTTAAACCGGTGAGGAGAAACGTTAACTTGGGGGATAGGGTGCGGCTGACATTGTTGGACTCGAGAGCTGGAGTTGGAGTTGGCTGACTATTTATTTATTGGATGGACGATATCACGTACCAGCCTCCCTCTTTTCCCTTTTCTCGGACATGTGTATCTATCTGCTTTGGTAAGAGGAAGAGAGGGGGGGGAAGAGAGAGAGAGAGAGAGAGAGAGAGAGAGAGAGAGAGCTGTAGCATATTCCTTATATACATGCGGAAACCTTGTCTTTTGAGATCGAAGCATATCGCAATCTGGATTTTGGGTCGGGCTGGAAACAATTCGGGTTTGTTGCTTTGAGTTAAAAGGGGAACCAGGGACTGAGGACGTGTTTATTTATTTCTTCCCCCCCTTTCGTAGATAGGTGACTGGAGGGTGTATTCACGCGAAAATCGATATGGAGAATGGGGTGTTTAAATGGTTTATTAATTCATAAATGATCGCGATAGATGAACTACCTGGGCGCGAAGTCGAGTAGATATGTTTATGGCGGAAAAGGGGGAGGGACTCCTCTCCAGCCTCTTCTTGAATTCAAACAGTGGATTGTGAGAGAGGTATGTGTAGTTGGTTTTAGTTGGCTGTGAGGAGACAAAGAAGACGAGAGATATATTTTGCAAGTATAAGTCCTCTCTGAGAGTTGCCTCTTTTATGTATGTATTTACTTGATTATGCGGTGTGGTGGATTTCACGCGGCTCAGTTGGATTTGCCGCCTCAACCTCCGCCTCCGCCTCCGCCTCAAACCCCAACCCCCAACCTCAACCTCAACCTCAACCTCCACCTTCACCCTCTTCAGCTATTTCTTCTATCTGCTTCTATCTTCAAAATCCCCTCTTCTTCATTAATCTTGTTTTTCTTGTCCCAACCACCCCTCCTCCACCATCAACGCCTCCTTTACCCGCCTCCTTCACAGTGCATTGATACTACGACGGACCTCGACGCGCTGCTGGTGGACTACAGCGCCAATACTCGGTAGGGTGTGTCGTCAAGGCCTTGGGCTAAATAATTCACCCTCCTCCCTCTCTCTCTCCTTCGCGACACTGGACGCTCGACACAACCCCGATACACACCTTTCCGCTTATCAGTGAGTGTCTCTTCTCCTCTCCGTAAGCTGCTCCCTATCCAACCCCCCCAACAAAAATGAAAAGTGAAAGTGAAAAAAGAAAAGAGAAGAAAAGAAGAGCCCAGTGAACCATCTTCACCTGCAATATTCTCCCTGGTATGCGGGTTATCTCAATGTCTAACCCGCCTCCGTGCAGTAACTATCTGCGGCTGAACAGCAGGCTGTATCCCCCTTTTGCATTCCCCGTAGCGGTATCATTTGGCTTGTGAGACCGTCCTTGTTGTCGTGATGCTTCTTAATAATTAATAATGCTGACCTCTAATAACGTTATAGTTTAAAAACGTCTAAAGTTACAGCAATTATAGAGGCGGACTAGCAAACCGCACACCCCCCCAAAATAGTTATTCTTTACCCATAACTACCCATCCGTCATCGCTGTCACCTGTCCACAGAGTTTTTCACTCCAACCCTTCTACACTCTGCAACACCCGTGTTGACTCCCTTATGTGTGCCTTTCTGCCCTGATTCAAAATGGCGTCATCTCAATCCAAGTAAGTCTTCAGTCAGCTCCTGTTTTCTATTCTGCTTGGACATGACGTGGTTGTCACTGTGGTCGCTGTGGTCGTTGTGGCGGTGGTGGTGGTGGTGGTGGTGGTGGTGTGGTGTTATGGGAACACTCCAGACTGTGAATCGCCCCAGCAATGGGCAAGTTTCTCGAAAGTAATCAACAAGAATAAATAAAAAATTACTGACACGACACAACACGACACAACACAACGCACCACGGCACACTACTGCCCCCTGTCAACCCATAAATTCCATTAACACTCATATTCAATTCACATTGCACTAACACATAACCAGCGTTTATGGTCGGGATCAGTTCATGAATCCAGGGCCTGCTCCACGTCCTCCGGTTGACCGTCCCCGCGTCAATACATCCAGTTCTACCACTTCTAGCGTTGCTACAAGTTTCAGCCAAATGTCCCTAAACTCGCCCTCTACTCCAACTCTCTCCGTCTTCCCGAATTCCAGCCAGCTTTCGTTGAGCCAGACCAAAACAAACGTAAGCGGCAGCATGGGTGGTGTCAGCGTGATCAAAGAAGGCTATGTTCGATGCAAGGAAGATAAGTTTCTGGCAGGTTGGAACCAACGTTACCTCATCCTGCGCGAATTTCGACTGGATTTCTTGAAAAATGAAACTGGCAAGGTCGTGCTGTCAATCCAACTCAGCAATGTCACTTCAGTAACTCGCTCGGAAGACTGTAAGATGGCCTTTGAGATCACCCGGATCTCAAACCCAAAAGATGCTAGCCCCCGTAACGTTTTGATCAATCGTGACATCCCTACGAAAACAATCACCTGCGAGGTCAAGAATGATGATGAAATCTACGAATGGATTGACAAGATCTACGAGCGATGTCCCGGAATGGGTGGTGTTTCCAACCCAACCAACTTCAGCCATCGCGTGCATGTCGGTTTTGACCCCCGGACTGGTGCCTTTGTGGGCCTTCCGGCAGAGTGGGAGAAACTGCTATCTACATCCGCAATCACCAAGGAGGACTACAAGAAAAACCCTCAGGCCGTGATCGAAGCCTTGGAATTTTACGATGCCAAAATGCGCGAGCAGAATCCACAATTTTACGAGGGCCAGGCTAGTAAGGGCCATAATGTGTCACCCGTGGGTAGTTCCATTGCCGGCCCAAGGTCAACTCAGCAACCAACTGGGTTGCAGCGTCTTGATAACCAGAATCAGCGGAGTCCTGGAGACCGTTCCCAGAGCTCTTCCCCCGCACATTCGCAGCGCAATGTGTCGGATGCAGATCGCCAACATGACCAACAGAGTTCAGATCAGTCCAAGGAAATGCCAGATATTCAGCAACGACGTCGCATGGACGAAGAGGCGCGTCGTATCCGGGAACTTCAACGCCAGCGTGAAGAGGAGCAAGCCCGTCGAGAACAAGAGGCGTATAATGCCTCGCTACCCAAGAATCGCGTCCCAATGGCTCAGCAGGAACTTGGAGGCTATGGCAGCTCAGATAGTGACAGATATAACCCCTCTCGACCAGCTCCTCAAGTTCCAGTCTCCGATCGCAGTCGACAACAAACTCCAGGATCGTTGAGACAGATGACCGCTCAGCGAGCTGCACCTTCACCACCCAATGGTACGCAACCGTCTTCGCAGAGATCCGGGGATGCCCCCAACCACCATGGATCCTTGCGATCTGTTGCACGCCAAGATGGATCTCGACCACAACCTTCTTCGAACACTGCCCGTTACAACGGTGGTAGCCAGACGCCAGTTAAACGCCCCCAGAACAATGGTGCTGGTGCCCAAGGTCCTGCTCCAAGCCGCCTCCCGGCTCCTGTCCAGACAGTTAAACCGCTCAACATTGCCAACAAAGCAGCTACCAACACGAAGAAAACTCCCGACGGGGTCCGCCAAGCTGAAGCCGCCCTGACGAAGAAAGCCCCCGCGGACGCTAGGCATAAGGACGTGCGCATGTCCACCATGTCCGAAAGCGAAGTCATGGAACGACTCAAGCAGGTCGTCTCCAAGGATAACCCGACAGAATCGTACAGCAAGCAGCGCAAGATCGGCCAGGGCGCGTCCGGATCAGTGTACGTTGCTCGCGTCAAGGAAAATGCACTCTCCCGCGTTGCGCGGGAGATCTATCGGACCCACGGCAGCCGGGGACAGGTTGCGATTAAGCAGATGGATCTGCGAAGTCAGCCGCGCAAGGAACTTATTGTCAATGAGATTATAGTGATGAAGGATAGCCAGCATCCGAATATTGTGAATTTCTTGGATTCGTTTTTGCAGGAGCAGAATAATGAGTTGTGGGTTGTTATGGAGTTTATGGAGGGGGGTGCGTTGACGGATGTCATTGATAATAATCCCGTAATTCGGGAGGATCAGATTGCGACGATTTGTTTTGAGGTGAGTTTTCCTCTTTTCCTCTTTTTCTCTTTTCCTTTGCGATCCCCATGTTCTTTCTCTTTTTTTTTTGGCTCTAGGTCGTGTATTTCGAGACGAGGGTAGGTGCTTATCCTCATCTCTCTTCTCTCTAGACATGCAAAGGATTGGCACACCTACACAGCCAGTCGATCATACATCGTGATATCAAGAGCGACAATGTCCTTCTAGACCGTGTCGGAAACGTCAAAATCAGTACGTATCCGCCCCATACTAACGGTATTAATGCCCTATGATAAAACCTAATACTAACAACCTCACCCCTCCAGCCGACTTTGGCTTCTGCGCCAAACTAACCGAATCAAAATCCAAGCGCGCCACCATGGTCGGCACCCCATACTGGATGGCCCCCGAAGTCGTCAAGCAAAAAGAATACGGTCCCCGCGTCGACATCTGGTCCCTAGGCATCATGGCCATCGAAATGATCGAATCCGAACCCCCGTACCTAAACGAGGAACCGCTCAAAGCCCTATTCCTTATTGCCACGAATGGAACACCACGTCTCAAAAAGCCCGAGAAACTTAGCAAGGAGCTTAAGTCATTCCTGAGCGTGTGTTTATGCGTTGATGTAAATAGTCGTGCAGCGTCGGATGAGCTGCTGTCTCATGAGTTTTTGAGGTCCGGGTGTAGTTTGGCGAGTTTGGCAGAGTTGTTGAAGTTTAAGAAGAATCCGGGGCAATGATTTATGGGGTGGATATACCCGAACCTAAGCACGGTAAACGATCTGATACGAACTTTTTAACGGTTTTTTTTCTTCTCTTCATTTTATCTTTTTATCTCATTTCTTGCTTTTCTTTTCTTTTACTTTTTTTTTTCTTTTCATTTTTTTCCTTCCAATTTCTATGTTCATTCCTAACGGAGCATGTGGGCGGACACTCAATTCTACGACCAGATTATACTGACAACAATGGACGGATTAGCGATAAACCTGCCACAGCACTGTTTTTATTTCTTCCTTTTATATATCTCTTTCCTTTTCATTTTTTTTCCCTTTCTCTCTTCTGCGGATTTTCCTAGAGACACCTTTTGCTCCCACATATATTTCCCATTGCCCCCTGATCTGACCATATCAAAGAGCAAAAGAATACCCCGATACAGACAGCATCCACTCCCTCTTCAAATTATCTCTTTGATTGCCTTTTGCTTCGTGTTTGTTTTCAACGTTTCAATCCCTTCAGGTAAAACGTGTGTTTTATCTCCCCTCTGTTCATTAGGTTACGCTTGATACGTATTTTCTTTTCTTTCTCTTTCTTTCTCTTCTATTTCTCTTTTTCTCCTTTGAGGAACCAGGACTATCTTATTGCTTTTATCAAGGGGCGTTCTTCAATTTTCTTTTTCACCCTTTATCACCCTATCCTCCCATTTACATGATTCTCTTACCTTTCTGACTGGGCGAGTTATGTTTTTACGTTATATGTATGGACGTTATCCGATTCGAGCTTGGTTCAATGGATATCTTAACTTCTTTTTCCTTTCTCTTCCTTTCTTGACTCCTTAAGCAGCGAGTTACATTCTCCCAATTCAAATTCATCTCGACCTATTTCGCCCTCTTGGCCTTTTCGTTACCAATTTGGATTTTCTGATATGTTTCCATGCTCGTTCATAGCTCTATTTTAGAGGAAGGGGAAGGGGAAGGGTTATCATAATAACATAGGGATCGTGGAGAGAAAATGAAATGCGAGGGGTAGGGAAGAGAGGGGGAATTATTATAACATACCTGACAATAAACCAATAAATTCCTTATTAAATTTCTCGTCTACTTTGATTGTTAAATTCTTATGGCTTTCTTTCCCTCATAGTAAGGTGTTCTGTATATGGGTGTTGGATATTTTGACTCTGTATACAAATGGAGGGAGAAGCTCTTTGCATTTTTATCAACCAGTATGGAACGCACGTCACTACATTTCTTGGTAGAACCCGACATGTGTGCACAAGATGAAAATAAATAAATTGATATGTATGTTGAGAGAACAATGTGACGCCTATGGTAGGATGAATAAAAACAGGAGGAAGAAAATCCCCCAGAACGCAAGTAAGTGACTTGTAGTGTCAAAAAGCATACATTCCAACCCACTAATGCTTCACCGTCCCCCTTCACCACCACAACTGCTATATTCAAATTCATAACTTCATAAATTATCCCCCTGTGAAATTTTTTTTTATATATTGTCTAGTATATATCAATCAACCGATCAATTAAGATCTCCCCCCACAGCCCCCCCAACACCAGCAATCTGTCCAAAAAACAACCCCCGCAAAATTGCCTCTCCCTCCTCAATAGCCCAATGGCCCGCCGCACTAAGTTTGTCCCTCCACGCCTTGCGCTCGTGCTCGTGCAGGTCCTCCCACTTACGAGTTTCACGCGCCTTCTCATTGTCGCCATCATTGATGTCGTAAGGGGCGGTAGTAATGGAGACCTGTTCTGTGTCATGCGGGTGCTCGACAATGATGATTTTTACGGGTGTGGGTTCATTCGAGTCGCCAGCTGCGGATGGCGGGCCGGCTTCTGGTTCTGCGCGCGCGATAGATGCGAGTATCTCGCGCAGATTCTGCCCGGAGGTTGTTTGGATGACTGGGATAATTGTTGTGCTTGTTGCTGTCTCGGTCATCGGTGTAGGTGGGATGGATACACCCGTCGGAAGCCCATTCTCGAAAGTGTACGGTCGTGCTATCATTGATCGTATCCTGGGACTCAGCCAGTCCTGCGCACCTAGCGTTGGTGGCACACCGCCACGTATCTCCGTAAAGGCTTGCAGGAAGAACGCGCCTAGCGCGACGACTATCAGTGCCACGAAACCGCTGAAGAGAGTCTGTAGAAGCTCTGAGGGGCCGGGTTGGACGAGAACATAGCGCGGATGGCGGGATTTTGGTGGTGAGGGCGCCAAGGGAAGGGTATGGACGACGACGGTGTTGCCAACACTTACGGAGGCGAGTTTTACATATTGAGGTCGTACATCAGCGGTGACTGGTTGGCGGGGTGGGATGAAGGTTGAGAAAACGAGGCGCGTCATGGAGAAAGGGTGCACGTTGTGCAGGGTCGTGTACGGGCGGAAATTGCTGAAGGGATTTTTGCTTTTGCGATTGTAATCGAGGGTGAGAAGCTGGATAGAGTTGTCGTTCCCGGATACGGCGATTACTAGTTGTCTGGTTCCCATGGGCGATTCAGAGAGGGGGCATACATCAAGGCCCAGGCCTATTTTCATCGAGCGTGGCAGTCGGAATCGTCGAATGACGATGCACTCAGAACTGAGGCTGAGGGAGATGACGGCAAGTTCGCACCCAGTGCGGTCCGGATTATTCAGTAAGACTAGGAAGGAGGTTGGGGAGAGGAATCTGAGAGCGCGAATTTTACTTCTTTTTTTGCTGCCGGCGAAGTAATCCGGGAATGGCACGGTATAGACTGATTTGGTCTCGGGTGCCACATTTGATTTTACTGAGGCGGAGATTTTAAATGTATAAATAGCTTCTCCTTCCGTGTAGGCCACTTCAAATTCCCCATCTTCTCCCTCACTGCTTGGTAGCATATCCACATCTTCAACTTCATCTTTACCCTCCAACCGAATCCGCCCTAGCACATCTGACTGATCCGGGGTTGATGACGTTGCGTCGAAAATGACCATTTCGCCCTGCGGAGCTAAACCCGTAGTTACCGCGCCAATACGGGGAGCGTCCTCCCCTTTCCACGGAGAAAGCCGCAACAATCGCTGATATGTTTCTCTTTTGTCATTTGGTTTATACTGCGGTCTGAAAAGGGATGCGCGAGACAGGGCTGTGATTGTAGGCTTAACAGGCAGCGCGACAGTTTTCTTGCCCTTCCTAGAACTTGCTGGGGAGGTGCTGGCGCCACCCAGTTCATTTCTGGGAGGAAAATCCAGCTGGAAAGATCTGAGATGCTCATTTTTGTCCTGGCCTTGCTCAGCAATGGAGCTATTGATGCCAGCCAAGGCTACAATAGTCTTGTTGTTTGACCGCGATATGGCTAGCGAGGTCACAGAGTCTTCATCTCGAGAAAGCTCTACATCGACGACTTCAGATATCTCGTTGCGCCGGGACGTATTTAACAAGGTCTAAATTTTGCCCCCCGGAATAGCATGGAAAGTATTAGCCAGATGTCATCTTCGATACGGCGGGGAACGGGGTTGGTAGATGAAAGGTTACTTGCGATTTTATTTCCAACTCCGCTGCGCCCTTCACCTCCGCCGCCACCTACAAGAACAAAGTCACTGTTCCTTGGGTCAAAATCCGCGCCGAAGAGCGGGCAAGAGAGAGTTATTTTGGCGGAAGGGGTATCAGGCGCCATTATGGTGTATTTTGGGTCGTTTTTGAATATCAATTGTAAGGATCAACAAGAAATTCAAAGGAAATAACTGGAAAAAATTAATTGATTCATTATATGTGTAGAATTAAGGAGTGGAAATGTTAAAAAAAAAAATAAATAAATAAATAAAATAAAAGAAAAAGAAAAAGAAAAGCAAACCGGGAACATTTGACGGTTTCGATGAAATCATCGACGTCGTTTCAAGCACGGAAGAATCATGGTCACGTGATATTGTACTCGGACTGCTGCAGCGGGAAGGGCATAGGGGTATGTATCTCTTGTTATCATACGGAGTACGGGGAAAAGATATATTTGATTGTCTTTATTTTATTCTTCCATGAGTAGAACAACCCCATCATATTGACTCTACGTATGCCTGTTTTTCCGTACAAAACTAACAGATCTATCTAAGCTTTATATTGTGGTATTTCCCCTTCAACTACTCAACATCCTGCGAAACAAACTCGGGAAGACGCTTCTTGATATCCTCCCACGTCTCCTCTCCGTCCACCAACGACTTGACAGCTTTGCAGATCTCCTCCTCACTGGCACGAACTTGCTTCGTGGTGTCGCGCTCACGGAGGGTGAAGGTGTTGTCCTTCACCGATTGAAAGTCAACGGTAATACCGAATGGGGTTCCGAGTTCGTCGTTTCGCGCATATCGCTTGCCGATACTGGCCGACGAATCATCCACCCGGTTGGACACACCAAGACGGCGGAGCTTGAGAGTGAGGCGGTGAACAAGTGGTTGGAATGATGGGTTATTGGAGAGCGGAACCAGGAGGACCTTAGTTGGGGCTACGATTGGTGGGAATGAAAGTACCTATTAAATTGAGATTTGTCAGACATGTACCAAGATCGCGTGTTATTACTGAATGAGAAAAGATGAGAATAAAAGACTTACACCTCGCGCTTCGTCGTCGGGCCTCGACCAGTAGACGTGCTCCATTAAACAAGCAAGAATTCTGCCAATGCCAAACGAGGGCTCGATGACGTTGGGAGTGTATTCCCGGATATTCTCAACCCGCGTCCGTTTCTCGATGTTAATGATGTCCTTCTCCAGTTCCACTTTGCCAGATCTCACACCATCCACGTCAATCTCGATTTTGCCATTTTCTTTAAGGTCCAGCGATAGTTTTGCCCGGAGATCTTGAGAGAGTGCATTAACTGCGGCCTCTACCGCCTTGCTATCCTTCCTGAAGCGGGGGCCAAACTTCTTCTTATCCAAGTCTATCTGCCATTCTTCAATTCGCAGTGGCTCCGAGCGCGTCTCCCGTACAAAGAGAGGAGCACCAGTTTTATTTTTGTGTACGGTCAAATCATATGCACTTCTGTCGGCACAGCCAACACACTCAATCCAGCCATATGTGGTAAAGAGCTCTGCATCCCAGCAGTCCTTTGCGTAGTGGGCCATTTCATTTTGCATATGTTGGCGCATCCGGATCTTGGATTCATCAATACCGATTTTTAGAAGGAAGAGTTGAATACGTGCGAGAAAGTAGCCCAAGGTTTCATTGTCCACAATCTTATCAGCCACGGCTTTGCCAATGGTCATTCTCTCCACCTTGGTGCTGCCGGAAAGTTGGACTTCCCGATCTAAGAACGAGAGTTCCATATCTTGAACTTCGTGGAAACGGGGGTGCTTTTTGCCGTTGTCTGGATCCACGAAATGCTCAATCTCAGCCATTAGAAACTCACGTACTCGCAGGAGCCCAGAACGTGGAGAGATCTCATTCCGGAAAGACTTTCCAATCGAAGCAGATGCAAACGGCATTGACTGCTGGTTAAATTCCAGGAGCTTTTGGAAGGAAAGGAACTGCCCTTGCGCTGTTTCCGGTCTGAGATATCCAGGCAAACCGCCACTAGGGCCAATCGATGTTTGGAACATCAGATTAAACGAGACTGGAGGTAGAACATCTCCGCCAGTAACGGGATTCTTGATTTCATATTTGGTGATGAGCTGCCCAAGTTCCTCGCCGTTGAAGTTGTCAATTTTGGCCAAGACTTCCTCATACTCTTTAACCAGAGCATCATCCAACTTGACAGCTTTGGTCTCCTTAGTCTTCTTCTTTCGCTTTGTCTCCTCCTCGTCAACCTCCACTTTTTGGCCGCGCGCCTCCTTGTCTCCTCTCAACCGCGTTTCAAGCACCTCCTCTACCAAGTGGTCGGCTCGAAAAATCTCCCCGGTCTTGGGGTCTTTGCACATCCAATCAGCGAATTTATCAACGTGCCCACTTGTTTTTAGAACGTCATGCGGAGTCAACATTGTGCAGTCGACTTCTAACATGTCCTCTTCTAAAACAAAGTGTTTTCTCCAAAGATCAACGACATTGGCCTGGAGTGCGCAACCCGGGGGGCCATAGTCATAAAGGCCAGATACCCCGCCATAGATTTCAAAGGAGGGCGTGTAAAAGAGCCGTCGACGGAGGAGGGAGTCTAGATTAGCACGGTCGAGGGGTTGGCCGGTTTTAGTACTACTTGTAGCCATTTTGGCTTTATTTGGCCTGTTTGGAAGCTTGAATCGTAGCGGTGTTGAGCTGCAGGAGAAAAGTCTTGCTTGGAGAGCGTGGGCTCGTAAAGCTCGTGAAAAGAGTAGAATGGGAGAATGACGCATAAACAATGCGACTATGGACAAATTGCGAGGCTAGAGGGAGAAAATAGCCGAGAGCGAAAGACAGGCAAGAGGAAGGTAAGAAGGGGGCCCAAAAGATGTATAGAGAGAGAGAAAAGGAAGAAAAGGATTGTTTGGCCGTTGTTGATCAAATGCGATGCGATGATATTTTTTTATGTTACATAACTTCTGAGGTTTTGTTGGAGACACAAGCTAAAGATAATGGGGTCGGGGAAAAATTCTTCCGGGCTGAGATTTTCCATGTCAACTCAAAAAATTATTAGCTATCAAAAGAAACTAAAAAGAAACAAATACAAAAGCGGAGCAGCATATGAAAGATATATCGCAACATAGTTATATTTCTGATGACAATTGGGATTGTCCTGGCATCTAGCACTCACAAAGATGCCGTCGATGAAGTCAAAGCTTCTTCCGTCTGGAGGGATGGAGTTCAAACCAGCCAACAAGGACAAACGAAAAATCCTACATATCAAGCGGAAGAAGGTCAAGGACGCCCAGTCCCGTGCAGAACGATTCGCAAGGAAGAAGGAAGAGGCTAAGGATCCAAAGCTCAAGGCAGAGCGGTTACGACGGAATATACCCCTAACGCTAGAGAGAAAACGGGTGTGGGATGATGTGGACAGCGATGTCGAGGACGGCCTGGGAATGAGCTTCGATGTGGAGAGGATTAAACGACACAAGATGGAAGAGGAGGCATGGCGGGAGAAGATTGATGAAATCAATGCTACAAGTGGTAATGAGGAAAAGAGTGGCGAAGGCGAAGAAGGAGATGAACACGGAGACAACCATGAGGTGGATAGCATGATCGCATCCGATAGTGATGAGGATGAAGATTCAGAGGAAAACGATCGGATTCAAAAGTCAAATCGCACGCGAAAATCAAAACTACCCTCCGCAACAGAGCGGGCAACAAGTCCTACGCAGTCTACTAGAAGCACAAACCTCGATCTCGCGCCTGACGCTCTGGCCGCCAAATTCCCTACACTATTCACCAAAGAACTCCCTCCAGCTCCGAAAATCCTAATCACCACCTCTATCAACTCTACTTTACATGACCAAGCCCAGCTCCTCACCGATTTGTTTCCTAATAGCGTCTACATCCGCCGTTCCGCCCATAAATACGCACATAAATACTCCGTGAGAGAAATATCCAAATTTGCCTCGAACCGGAATTTCACAGCGCTGGTAGTCGTGGAGGAAGACCAAAAGCGCGTATCGGGTATGACGATAGTTCATCTGCCCGTGGGACCGACTTTCCACTTCAGCGTCAGCAACTGGGTCGAAGGCAAGAAGCTACCCGGACACGGGAATTCCACAGGCCACTGGCCCGAGTTGATCTTGAATAATTTCCGGACCCCTCTTGGAATGTTGGCGGCACATCTATTCCGCACTCTTTTCCCAGCACAACCCGAGCTAGTAGGGCGGCAGGTGGTGACGCTGCACAATCAACGAGATTACATATTCGTGCGAAGGCACCGATATGTGTTTCGTGAGAAGAGGGAGACGGAGAAAAGCGTGGTGGGCGCTGATGGGAAGGAGATGAAGGGTGTGGAGGGGATTAGGACTGGGTTGCAAGAACTGGGTCCGCGATTTACGCTAAAGCTGAGGAGAGTTGACAAGGGGATACAGCGCGCGAGTGGACAAGAGTGGGAGTGGAAGGGTGGAATGGAGAAACAGCGGACGAAGTTTCAGCTGTAGCCTGTCCTGTCAGAGTATACCCTTTCTTGGATCCTTCTCTGAGCTTGCTAGCTACGTTATTTCTTATTCTTTCTTGGGCATTACTTGATGAATCTGATGAACATGGAGGGATATATATCCCAATTTCTCTCCTGGTCTTGTGCAATTTTCATAATTTCTGGCTGCATGCTATGTCTTATTAATCCCCTGGGCATTTAATATTAGTGAGCAGAAGTTCCCCTGGCCTCTGTTAGTTTAATTTGCACTGTCGGCCTAGCCCTGGGATGCGTATCACAAGATGAAGTTCTGCGAGAAACCCATATCAATTCTATCCACCTAGAACATCGTACCAGAGCGAGTATTTTCGCGGGTCTACGTTGGTGAACCCGGAGGAACTGCTCTTCGATCACATATTGGTGCCAACCATAATTACAATACCTCTAGCTCATCATGAAGTTCCCTGCCTCACGTCATGAACCAGAAGATCGATCCCAAGGTAAATTGTTCACTAATCGGACCAGCGCCGCCGTAAGTTCCACTGCCGTGGTTTCGTCCCACTCTTCCGGCGCGTACATATGGATATAGCCAACGTCCAAGGCTCGATTTTGAGGTCAAGGTCAAAATCAACCATCCGTGAGTTGCTGCATCCGCTGAAGGACTGGACGCGGTTTGTAAGTCATCGACATACGTTCGAACAGTGTGCTGCACTTGAAAAGCTGCATGTAGATGATATGGGGAGCAAGGAAGAAGGAATGAGCCATCTTTAATCTTTATAATTGTATGTATATAGTTTATAATTATGGCACTGCATCGAGGAGTTCGAAGATGGTCTGTTCTGGCGAACATGGTCACCACACCGGTTATAGAGACACCTTGGCAGCAATATCTTCAGTAATAAATAAGAAGTAAAACAGAATGGCCTCCAACACCCCATGGATAACGGGTGGAGCCTTCATGAGGCACAAGGAGTTGTTGAATAAGGGGATTCAGAGCAGCAACTCCTTTTATAGACCAACCTTGACACCATATTGACTGATAGCTACAGTTGTCTATGCATAGAGCGAAGATGATGAGACTGCACGGAATGCGATGCAATTTACCGTAGTCAGTCAGTTATTTACACGATAGTTAGTTAGTTACATAGTTACAACTTACAGTGGCCAGTGATGTCGGAGAAAGTTCTTCATACGCTGAGGATCGAAACTCTCTCCCTCGAAGAAGAATGCAAAGTGTCGATTAGAGAGGCTTCATGTATCCCCCACTCCGACAGTCTGGTAAGTTAACTAGCTAGTTGCAGTTGATGTGCGGTTAAAGATCCATTGATCCACGGAACTGTAACTAATCAACTTACTGGATAACTGGAATTGCGGGGACAGCGCGAAACTTAATGACTCCATCAGACCCCGCCCCTTTTCTGCTGTGATTACATATATTTTATATTTAGGGTCGATTCTCGTCGGCTGAGGGGAAGGCCACAACATGTAACTATCTCTTCTGATTTGACTAAACCCCCCAAACGTCATGGTTACTGCACAATAACTAACCAGAGACCCGCTCTCAAACATAGAAGAGAAACTTATAGACTTCCATGACACCACCTCCAGACCCCACCCCACACCTCACCTCTCTTCAGCGCGATGGCTTTGTCGTAATCCCCGAGCTTCTCTCCCAGTCTCAGCTCAAGGCATTGCGCGCCGCCGCCTCGCACGCTGCCGACCTGGGCCGCAGCGGGAAATGGCCGCATATCCGCACAGTCCCAAAGCAATTCCCGCCATGGCCCTCAACCCCCCCACCAGCCCAAGAGGGTGGAATCTGGGGAGTGCAGCATCTCATGCACCCCGAAATGCCTGGGCGCGATGAATTCGCGAAGCTCTATTTTTCTCCGCGTGTGCTCGAGATCGTAGAGGAATTGGTCGGCGTCAAAAAGACCAAACCCGGATCAAAAGCGGAATCACCACAGGAAGAAGAGCAAGAACAAGAACCACTAACCATGGAACTCCTCAACCTGCTCATTTCCCCCACATATGTCCCATTCGCCCTGCGCTGGCATCGCGATGAAATACCCACTCCACCCACGCTCAGCGCTGAGGATGAGCTGGCTGCCCTTATGCAGAAGTCCCCGCCTGATCGCCCGGCGTCGCATGCCCAGTACAATATCCCCCTGTACGACGATGCGTCACTCATTGTCGTTCCGGGGTCGCATCGACGGGCGCGCAAGCAGGTAGAGCGCGAGGCAGATCCCTATGAGGATAATCTACCCTGTCAGATGGTGGTGGAATTGCGGCCGGGGGACGCGGTGTTCTACGATAGTAATATTTGGCATAGAGGAGTGTATGATGGTGTTGACCCGGATGTTAAGGGGGAAGATGGGGTGGTGCAGGGGCTGAGATTGACCATTCATGGAAGTGTAGGGCTGGCGGTTGGCAGTGGCGATGGTATTGGGGGGGAAGAAGGGAAGAAGGCGAATGCCAGAGCCAAGGTGGTCTTGCAGCATGGGGTAGGGTTTTGGGTTAATAGAGAGGATGCCTCGTTTAATGGGTTGGATGCTGATGTTAAAAGGAGGGCAGAGAGGATGCGGAAGAGGCTTATTGAGATGGGAAGTGGAGAGGGGATTGGGTATGCCCTTGAAGGATAGGAGGAAGTGGTTATGTTTAAGGCGTGAATTTGATACTCTAGTATGATTCTATAGCGAACGGATATAGTTAATGAATGAATGAGCTTATAAATATTTCTCTGTGTTTCCAGTGCTCTCGGGATGAATCACATGGCGCTCTTGTGTACATTTATTTCGCTCATCGATGTTAGACAAGAACATAGTCTTCTCATATTTCAAGCAAGAAAAAGGAAATTCAGGCCTCAGAAATACCACCAAACCCTCTTGCCGAAGTCTAATAATGAAGGTGCCAATAAAAAAGGTCAAATCCCCTTCTCTCTTGGTCCGTAACCACCACAACGTATGAAAACAAAAAATGAAAGCGTGGAAATAGTCTGCCAATTCGAGGTCCAAAAATATTCGCGGGCGAAAGTACAACACAACGTCAGAAAATCGTAAGATAGAAAAAGGAGAAAAACCGTAGTGCTTATCATAAATCGTTGTTATCGGTTTAAACCGAGTCACTGTTTGGGTTTATTGGCCGTAACCACCCTCACAACGCCCTTCGCGCCCTCAGCTCCTCCCATCACAATCTCCATCTTCACCTTGTCACAAAGATCCCTCACCCCCTCCGGCGTCCACCCCACGTACTTGGTCAATGACCGCATACTCATTGCCTCCAGCCCTTCCAGCAACACGATGAGCACCATCTTCCCCAGCGTATTACCCCTAGGATCCCCCTCACGCCAGGTCCCAATCGGCACCTCAATATTATGCGTCCGGATCTGAACAAACCCCGCCGCTGCTAGCGCGGACACACGCAGATGTTTCAGATCGCACGGGTAGCCCGCTACATCCGCCGCGGAGCGAATGGCAGATATGAATATGCTCAGATACGAATTGGCAGGTGCGTTGTGTGCGTTCAGTAAACCGGAGGTAAAATCTACATCGGTGACCTCAATGCTGCCACCAGGTTCCAGATTCTGAAAGGCCTTGCGGTACAGGGCGGGCCAGTCCGCGATCCCCCCGGATAAGCCACGTATGTGGATGAAGTGGAATGGTTGGTGGTAACCCCATTCGCCGCACTCGACGTTGTCGATTTGGAAGAAGACGTTGGGCGGCGCGATGGAGACGGTGTCTGAGTCGAAGACGGAGATGTCGACAGAGAGGATCTCGGCGTCGGGGTAGAGTTCGCCCATAGCGAGCGCCCAGTCGCCGGTTCCCGTGCCGATGTCGAAGACGCGGGCTGTTTCTGGGGGTAGTGTTGTTTTTGTGAGTTCGCCGTCGTAGATTATTAAGTAGATTTGGTGCTCTATTGTTAGTCTAGTTTGCTCAGCTTCGTCGTTTGGCATAAAATAGGTTTCGTTGCAGTAGCGGCGGCCATTTTCGAGGATGTCTTCAATTATATGTTCGGAGAGGGATTTGGAAGATCTGTGACGTAGTTCGAGGTGTAAGTGGGCATGTCAATTCCCATAGGGGGGTAAAATACGTATCGCAAGGGCAATCCCCGATGTGTGTGGGCACGGACAAATAAGATATGTAAAGACGTAGAATGGGGCGGCGACGTTCAATGACATAAGAAAATATAGGGGATAGACGAACGATAATGAGTGTGAATGCGGTGTATACGGATCTGTTGACACAGCAATCGTAGTGCCATTTAGCTGGTCTGAAAGATAGCAGTCGTTATGTGGCATTGGCTCGCCTTCAGCTGTCTGGGCATCCATGTTCTCCTCCTGCACCTCCATGTTGGAACCGTTGTCCTTGAGGAGTGGCTTAATGTTCGGAAGTGAGATGTCTTCGTCCATGACATGACTGTATGGATCAGGGTTGTTGGTGCAGGGCGCAGTGGGATGGGATTTTGGAGATCAATCGAAGGTATCGTGGAAACTGCGTATTCAGGACATCTAGAACTTTTCATGTCATTGATACCCCTTATTTAGAAGTTCAGGTGATGTGTCCTTTTTTAATTGCAGCCGATTTATAGAAATAAAATAAAGTAAAACGAAAAATTATAGAAGAGATATACAACAAAACGGGATTGCAATTCAGATGCAAGCCCATAAAATAAAAATAACGGTCACAACAATTGACCCGGCTATTATTTTCATACCGCCATATCCGTACATGGAATTGTATTTTTAAGATCATGTAACAAAAGCCTTGCAAGGTTGACCGAGGCAATCGATAGAGATAAAAACGAGACATTAAGTGTCAATGGAATTATCCATTGCCTCTATGGTTCCATGATGAGAAAGTGAAATATAAGGCACACGGTGGTAGAAGGCCAAAGGGGAAATAAACTACAACGGCGAGAATGTGAAAGGAGTTAGAAAACATACCCCTTAGAGTGATATCGAGAAATCCTGTGTGATGTTTCGCCTCTCAATAATAGCGTTTGGGCTGCCCGACCTTCCAACCCTTCTGTGTTAATTGTTGCAATGGCACACGGACCCGATATCCTAGGATACGCAGAAGATTGCCAGCCGGAACTAATATATTGGGGAATGGGTTTCTCTTTGATAATCGCCGATGTCAAAATAACGGGTAATAGGCTTATGGTTCAAGATATGTTGAACGACCAACAAACCCTCAACCGAATAAGGCTATCAAGCCATGAGCGTTCCAGGAATATTGATCTTGTTCTCCAAAAGGAGCCGCCGCAGAATTAACCTATTGTAGTTTATACCTAGGTAGCAAAGAAACTCTTTTTTTTTTCTCCAAGGTTTTCTCGCAGTGTCTTTGTTGTGCGCTGCTGTTATATCGGTCCTTTGTGAAGCTTCTCTTTCTACCGCGAAAGGGGAGATGGAAGAGCTTGTTGAAAGCGTGTCGTTTGTTGCCCAGCTTGTCCAGTTGATAGCGAGAAGGTAAAACAGTCTAGGGAAGATAGAGTGATCAGCGTTGGTTTCCCGGCCTTCTAGCTTTAATATCAGCGCGATGGGGAGTTTGATTGTGCAGAGAATCAAATAGATTGTTGTTGAACGGACGTCGGAAATCACAAAATTGTAGACGGGGGCTAGGGACTGGGAGATATTCGGCATTTATGATTCCCCCTCTTAGGAATCTTTTGGCCATATTTGTTTTTCATTTAGTTCTTTGACTTTTCTTTTGCCTTTTCTTAGTTTCTCCACATCTCAAGCCAAACGTATTCCGTTGGCTACCTAAGTATGGAGGCACCTGGCGAGCTCTTAGTGGGAGGGGAAACCCCATACTATCCCATCACCACCCCAGTCAACAACGGAGAACGAATTGCTAGAAGCAAGAGGACAGAAAAAGAAAGCAATCTCAGCTGCGGGACACGACATTTATTGGCCAATGCATGACACAATTCGCCCGGTCCAATTATCGTCTTCGAAAGTGAGAGGATGTGAAATAAAATTTCGAGGTAAAAGTCATCATTTACAGCTGAAACTCAAGTTCCCAATTCTTCAAGTGCGCGATATCCATCCCGTGGCCCATATACCTGGGTCATTCGTCCTGGCATTGAACCTGGGCTACAAGGCCGACTAGAACCAGTCAACGACGTTTGTCGTCACGCATTAGTTTAAGCATCAACAGCTCGGATCCAGAAGGCCTTGTTAACCCAACGAAAGCATGTAGCTTTCAGCTCTAAGTAATCGATGCTTGAGCCAGTCCGTTATATAACTAATGAAACTTGCGGGCAATCTCTCTTTTCCTGGTTGAGCCAATGATTGCCTGGAGCATTACATTGCATGGAAGATCCAGTAGTTAGCGAGATGTCATAGGGTCCGGGGGAATGGACATGCAGGAACCTGTCCCAGGCTTGATGATGCCGTGGCATCGTAATTTATCGAGGGCCGCCCGAAGTAATGCTACCAATGGCATGGGGGTCGAGGATGCTTTAACTTCACCTAATCGTGCGCTAATAATTAACCGTCTTGGAAGCCAGGAAGTCTGAATTGTCCCTGTTTACGCTTTCACCCAATCCACATGTCAGTTTATTTCTTTTTAAATTTTGACCAACATTCCGAAGTTAGTTCGACGTTAGGACGTTAGGACCCTTTACGATCCTTTTTTTAGATCAATTCGTTTCACCCTCGTCCTACTTCCGGATGTTCAACGCCCGGCAGGAAGAGTTTCTTTTGAAGAAGAGGGCCAGTCAGTAATCATGACGGCTGTTATTTGTGTCTTTAATGCTTCACCTGGCATCAAAGCTAAAAAGGGTTAGCTTTATACCTTTTGGTATAAGGGCCCATTTATTCCTGTGATGGTTCCGGAACACGGCCGGGAAGATCGCGAGGTTCCAGCAAATTCAACAACCAGAAGTGAAGAAAGATTTCGAAGATCTCACGCCCCGTAGCTTGGACCAGATCCACTGTGATTCACGTGTAAATCCTTCCAACCAACGAATTGAAATTGGTCATAGATGAGAGAATCGTCGTAGAATAGGGAGAGGCTTATCCGAGGTAACGATTTAACTCCGATGTGACTAAGTTGCCCCATGCCCTGACTCCCAGCCCTAACCCTGAGCCCTAACAACATCGATACGTAAACAACCTTGGAACTTTTTAACTACTTCGAATAACCTCAAGAAGATATAATATCACCTTCCATCCTCGAAAACACTTATTTGGAATCCGCATCGGTAGCTGGAGTCTACAAGATGGGCCTTGCAGGACGCTTATTGAAGAAGCAGAATGAAACCCAATTCGCCATTTTCTCAGCGTTTTCAGGTGGGATGGGACCAGTCAGCAGGTCGCCCTTGTTAAGACCAGCTAATCACTTTCGGCATAATGGCTAACCCAGACTGGTGTTTGGGCGGGACTGTGGCTCTCTCACTCGAACAAACACCAGTGCATGTGCTATTTGTACCGTACATGGGGACATCCATATGCAATACAGGCAGGCTATGCAGCATCACCTATTACTATTGGGACATATGAAATCTTGGAATGTCCCATCCCCTGTTCCCCATTATTGTTCTCAGCCCAGAGTCATCGGAATACTGGGGATTTCTTCATGCATTCTCTGGTTCCCAGTAGGCCGGAAACGCCGGGATCTGTTGCCACGTCAAATCACGCTACAGTTTGTTGCCTTTCAGGTTTCCTGGGGGCACTTCGGAGTATGAGAAGATTAGCTGGAGACTGTCCATTGGTTAGTGCAATATTGTTCTGTGTTTCTAGTCATAAACCTGATGTACAGCGGTTTCATTTTTTGATTCTGCGGACAACTTGCGAACCGGACTAGATTCCTCCCGCGGCTGACAAACCTGCCGTTGTTAACCATTTTGTCGGTGCCATATCCAGGCCAGAATGAAATTTTCGAATGGGTCATGGAAGTATATGCTTCCGGTCACGTCCGTTGGCATTTGACGATGGGCGAATCATCCTTAGACATGGGGCTTGCAAGTTGGTAGCGTCCAGACTCCCAGTGATCCGTTAACTCTGGAATATCCAGTGCCATGGAGAAGGGCGGACCTTTGAGGCATACTTTAACCCTCTAACCCCTGAGTGAGATTCACGAAAGAAATGATGACGGCAGATCCAACACCTACAGTCACTCTTATAACCAATTTAATCCCCACCCTAGGGCATAGTTCTTGACTCGGAGCACTCCGTTTCGAGATGATTACGAACGACCTAGCGAAGGGAAGGAGTGTTGATTTACCGATGGTTTCAGCATGAACTTCCTTGCAGTATGAGCATTTTTAAGATGCTGCCAGGTGATACGATATGTCCTGCATGACACCGGTGGCATGTTTCCCTCCCCGTTTCGTGTCTCTCACATTTGTTGATTATTCACCGTCCTTCCCAGAATCCCAAGTCCCGAAAAAACTAAAGAAAAGAAGGAAAAATGTCCAGTGAAGATCTAGACTTTCTGATCTTCGAGAACACCTGCCTCACCCCACCGCACACAGCAATGCGCCAAACTGACCAGTCTCACTTTTCTCTCTCAGTCATCAACTCTTTCTCAACCAATGCATGTCCTCATACATTAGATCTGCATTTGCGTAATTACGACTAGTGATAGTTTTAGGCCGGTGTGGAATGAGCAGAATATCGTGCGCCTACGTCTCGAGGATGATACAGAGGCTACCCAACCAGCTTTCTTGTCCGGTCGTTGGGAAAAAATCGACCCTGGAGACAAACGGGAAGGGAATGGAAATAAAGACTAAGAGAGGAGGGAAAGAAGAAGGCTTCAATGCAGTCCGAGGGCCCACTGATGAAGTCACTGGGTCTGAAGTTTTGCTTGGTATGTTGGTATGATTGAACCACTGTATGTTGGGGGAGCAGGGTCCATTGTGAAGAAGCCTTTCTGGAATAACATTCCAGATAGGTCAGCGAAAGAGTAGAATGAGGTATCAACTGTCCATTGAACTCTCCTGAACCAGGTGAGATTAAAGATGTAAGACACACTGAATAATTAACAAGATATGTTCATTATAACATCCTTATTTTCCCCATGTGATGTCCCAGTGGATGTCCCTCAAATTGAAATTTTGCACTCTCTAATAACCACACATGTATACAATGTTTTCCCAAAAACCAAATCTTTGGGAAAAAGGAGGCCCTTAGATACCAGAACTCCTTGCCTTCACTTGCATGCATGTGTGACAGTCATATTCATGATCGCATTTATGAAATATCTGATCAATCCAATTTCAGCTTCAAAAGTTGGCAGAGACAAAGGAAATTGTTCAATATCAGGGAGACGTGCGCAGATAATAAACCGCACTTGAATATGCAAATGTATGTTAACTAGGGACGTAGGGAAAATATCAAATATCACCATAACAGCGTGAGAACCCTCTTCCATGATTTTCGCGACTCTCTCGTCCGAGATCACTCCATGCTCCCTTTAATGCCACCGGAAGCGCATTCGCTTAGCAAAGGAGAAAAAGAAAAACCTGTCTGAAATGAACACCCGAGCCTTTGTATGGTGATGTCTCTAGCAGGAGTCCCAGCTGTATACGCCTGTCTTTCGGTGCTGGGCTTCACAAGTTTTTCGCAATTTTCGGAGGCTAGGTGCAGAGGAGGAATTGCGAAAATCATTAACAGGCTTCCTTCGGTCATTTTGGCGTATTCCAAAGCCGCTGCTGTTCCATTTGAGGCTGTCAATGCAGTTGGCGGATATAGTGCGGAATCTTGAATGATCAGGTAACTAGTTCTACGGACTGTATCTAAGTGGATAGTGAAATCAGTGATAACATTGAATTTTAAAGCCACATCTAGAGACTCCGTAAGATCAACGTGAAATCAAGAGAAATGCCCAGAAGGAATATCATTCTGTGTTCGAATGCCCGATCTATTGGCAGAGACTTGCCCCGTCAAAACAGAAACCGGAGGAGGGCTGATGAGAGCTGACGAACCCCTTACATAATCGCATTCTGACCTCAACCCCCCACACTTCTATAGAAAGAGTTAATTTAAATGCATGAAGTTGGAAAACGGTCGAGCAACTTATCATGATCGATTAAACTAACCCATTCCACTCTGAACCACCAATGTCCCCCACCCCTCCCCTCTTCCTCGCCTCAATAGGCAACCCACCTCCGCGATGGCATAAAACCCTCCATTCCGCAGGCCATATCCTCCTCCGCATACTTTCCCAACACTTAAAAGCCCCTTTACAGCCAGTATCCCCGTACTCAATTCCTTCCCACCCGCCACCGCGAGACTATCCAGGACCCTACACTGCCGGCGCCAAGCTTCCCAACACCGACACGCATTTGACTCTTTGGCAGTCGCCGACACTGATGAATGTATCTGGTCCTACATTAGTGAGGACATACGAGAAGTGGTGCGCACGGAGAGGGGGGAGGGGGCCAATCGTTGGAGCTGTTGCAAACGCCAGCGCAAACGCCAGCGCAAATATAACCAACCCAGACCGCCAGAAGGACAACGCGAGAGACGAATCAAATCCCATCCCCCTAAATCTCATCCTTCTCCATGACGACCTCGAGCTAAGTCCTGGAAAACTCTCTGTGCGGCGCGGGGGTGCCTCCCTCTCCGCCCGCGGTCATAATGGCATCAAGAGCGTAGTGAATAGTCTTGTGAAGGCCGGCATGCTTGCTTCGACGCGCGGGGCGGGGAAGAAGAAGGGAGCAGGTGTTGGGATGGGTGGCATATTGGGTGCAGGTTTAAGTGCAAGTGCAGTTGACCCCACCCGCTTCCAGTTGACGAGGATTGGGGTGGGGATTGGGCGGCCGGCGAGTCGCGAGCCAGCGGATGTCGCGGAGTATGTGCTGGGAAGAATGCCGGATCGGCAGGTGGAAGTGACGGAAGGGCTTGTGGGCAAATTGGTGGAAATATTGGAGAAGGAGGCGGAGATGATTAGGGGACGTTGAGAGGGGATGTTGAGAAGTAGTTTCTACGCTATGTATAGAAATTTTGTTTATATATTATGATGGTTACTGGATTTTTACTCTTCAATTCTTCTGTTCTCATATTTTTGGTGTTACCTGGTTGGATATGGATGAGGTTTCGTTTCTTTCAGATGACATTTTCTAGATCAGCACCACTATGGTTCAGCGGAAGATACCCATAGAAATTATTAACGGATTAAAGGCGCAGGGAAGGAAATTATATCATGGTTTGGTCTTTCAACTTGTGATTATGTCTTCATGCATTATTTTACATGAAACTGCTGAAAATAGATGAGAAATTGAGTTAATTTTATGTCTGTGATCTAATCATTTAAAGCAAGAATTCTAAATCGAGTAATCAGCATGTTAATTCATATCTGAAGATTTCAATATTCATAGTTTGAAATATCATTCTTATTCTTTCAAATTGATGGTGTGTCTTTAACCATGCTCTGAAACATCTAGTTATTAATTGTTAATTAATCATATCTCTGCTGAATCTTATTAAACGCTGCTTCAGTACTATGTTGAATATTTTTCATGATATATTATATTATAGGCTCAAAGAAGTTGATATTACATATCATTCTATGAAGTAAAGGCATTTTTATGATACTTAGACACACAAAAACATGATTAATCTGCGTAGTTAATAATTTTTTTTAAAAAAAAAAGGGAATGAAGAATTAAGCAACCAGTTAGTGAAAGATTATATGATTAAACAGAATAAAGAGACTCAATGATAAGTCTTCAGAATCAACATTAAGACATGAGATGTTGATAAAATTAAGTATTTATCATATCAGCAAGAATATCACTGTAGATTTTGAAATGCTTTTAATGAATTCAACCATTTCTTTTTAATTAAAGTTGGAAAAGATTCAGCTGTCTGTCATAAAGAAGTTATTATCATTTCAACTTTTCCATTCCTCATCTCACACCCAAATCTCGCACCCAAATAGAAGACGAAAATCGAAGAAACTTAACTCCGTTGCCAAATGATTATTATATATGTTGCCACATACCAGAAATCCTTCCGGTTGCAACCAAAAATTTACTACCCTACCCGTCAACTGTGAAGGATAGATTGCTTGATTGATTATGTAGCGATTGCTAGCTACGCGAAAGTTATATACAGTGTGGATTACATAAGAAGGTGGATAGACCTGACACTCCCACTCACCAATGTAACTGTATATGAGATTACATACAAAAAATAGCCTGTAGCTAGGTATCAGTACATAATTTGACTGGAAAACCCATACTGTTGAAAAATCAGTCATTTCCTTCATATAATCATTTCCACCTGCTTACTGTGTCTTCTAATATCTGTCATCATAGGATGTATCTAGTCACTTCAAGCAGCTTGATCAGCCTGTCTGCTGTGTTCTCAGCAGATGAGACATAATCAATTGAGATCTCATTCTTGTGGACAAGATCTTAAAGAGTATGAAAGCAGACCTTTATATGCTTAGATCAGTGTGAAATAGCTTCACTTTTGACTAGTTCAATCACTGATTTATTATCTGCCTGAATCATATACATCAGTTTATTAGCTGGTGATTTGATCAGACTGTCATTATCATCAAAATTATTGAGTTAGGATAACATAAAGCTGGCATCCTCCAGCAATTCCCAGAAGCAGACAAGCTCATAAGCAGTCTCTAAGAATGTGATATAGTTGACCTCAATAAATGATTTCAAAACACCTGTCTGCTTGCTACTTCACTAAGCAATGAGACTCTCTGCTATAAAAATGACATATCTGATGATGAAGCAGGAATCCAGATCATGGCTCACTCAACCAGCATCAGTGAACACCACAGGTTTTATATCTATATCTTTTTGGTAAGACACATCTATATCAGATGTGCCTTGTAGATATTTAAGAATTCACTTGAATGCCACTCAATTCTTTGAGATAGAGCAGGAGCTGAATCTTTCTAAGAAGTCAGCAGCAAAGTTTATATCAGAATATGTATTGACAGTGAGATATTGTAAAGAGTCAATCTCTGATTGATAGAAATATAATGTAAATTCCACTGTATAAGTAATTGATTCTTCATTATTATTTATAAAATCAATATTCTCCTCCATAGAGAAGGATGATAAGTGATAGTCATTCATTGAGAATTCCTTAAGCAGGTTCTTTATGAACAGTGACTAAGACAGTAATAATAATTTAGTATTTCAATCAATTTTCATATTTAAATATCAGTTCAATTTGCTCACATTCTTGATCTTATAATTAGTAGTGATCTGGGCTTTTGTCTATTCAATATCTGATATATTTAAACTGTATAGATGAACATCATCTACATAGATGATTATATAGACTTTACAGATATCATTTATGAAAAAATTAATATCATAAGAACTGACACAGAAGCCTGTTTTCAATAGTATTTTTCACAGCTTCTCATATCATAATAGTGCTGCTTGCTTCAGGTCATATAGTTTCTATATCAATTCACATATCAGATCATCACATCTCTTACAGAACCTGGCAGGTTAGTGTATATATATATGTTCATTGGCAGGAAGCTGGGCATTTAAAAATACTGTAACCATGTCAATCTGCAGAATATATCATTCTCAAAATATTAAGATTGTCATAAGTGCTCAAGAGGTAGAGACTGATACAACTGATAAAAATATCTTTAAATAATTGATACTCTTTTTTTGATAATTGTTGCAGACTACTCAGTGAATCTTATATCATTTGATTCTACCTGTATTATTAATCTTTTTATCAAACACTTATTGACTACATAGAATTATCATATCTGAGGTCCTTTTAACTAGTCACCATGCATCAATTTGCTTGAGGCAGTTAATCTCCTTAACACAGGCATAGAAGTAATATTTTCAATCTATAGATGCCTGAGCCTAAGTGAGATTCTTTGAAACTAACAAGTCAGTGATCTCAGAGCCTGCAGAGACATCAGTCAAATTGTTAGTAAAATCTCTCACTGAGGTCTTTTTCACTAAAGTAATATTCTCAGTGAGTATTGAAGAATTCTCTATCTCAAAAGCAGACTCTAAGAGAGCAGTAATATTCTGCATCAAAAATGTTAAAATTCATACAGTAATCTCATAGTCTATTCATTAATTATTTATAGAGTGTAGAAATACTGAAGAAGCAGATAAAAACTTCTTATTTATTATAAAATTATCTATTGATAAATTATATTGAGTGAAGAGGATTGCAACTGCAGCTACACAGATGATGAAAGACAGATTTTTGATATCTTACTCAAACAGGGCCAGAGAATCCACCAAATGAAGATCTTCTTGAAATATCACATCTTTCAACATGTATAGGTGATCATTAGAAGGATTAACTAATCTATAATTAGTAAAACCATCATAGTCTGTAAATATAAGCTCCTATGATCACAAGGCCATTTTCATATTCAGCTTGAATACTATTTTTAAATAAGTTTTGCACTTTCATCAGCAAATTCTGTATGTAGAGGACAGGGCTCTGAGCCAAGCTTCATATGAGATAATCAGTTTCAGATCTGAATCCTCTATACTGTTATAGAGCTTGACTGATATTGGCATAAGATTAAGCATTTCAGTTGCTGCAATTACCACCTTACCCTATATCTAAGAGAAGAAGGAGAAATCTATTAATAATATTCAAGCTTTTTCAATTATCAGGTCAATTGAATATTCAGACACACTATCTTGCTGCAGAGTATGAGGTGCGGAGTGTGAGATGGGGTTAATTCCCATTTAATACCCTCACTTATCATATAGACGGCTGCGGCATTTGAATTCAACTCACCATGATCAGAGTGAATAATCACAACATTGTGATTAAGTAAATTCTTCATAAATTGATTGAAGATCTGTATATATTTTAGAGTCTTATTGCAGTACTTCAATAGAAAGATCTATCACATTCACATAACATTGTCAGTGATTATCATTATGAGCTTATTACCTGCATAAAATAGTATATTTTTTTTTATTACTAAGTGTTTCTCCACTTTCAAATAGGTTCATCTAGATCTTAAGACCTTTGTGAATGGCACAGTGTAGCAGAGTATTTTTATAACTTGCATATTTATGCTTGACTTTAATACATATAGTGCAGAATGAGAGCTTCTTCAGGTCAATAATGATAATTCTGAAACAGGACTCTCACAACATTTTAATTAAATTCTTCTTATCAATATGACTCAATTATCAGTGTCACTTATCAATCAGTAGCTGCTTCAGCATAATGATAGATAGTTAGATTAATGAGGACAAAATGAAGATATCAATATTCAAATTCTTTATATTAATTAGCTGCTCCACATCATCATGATTGAAAAAAATCAATGATGCAGCATTCAGATCATAATCAGTTGAAATTATCCTGAGCTTTGAGATTATCAAGTATGCTATTAGTCCAAACTACAGATCATTCATAATACCTTCAAACATAGAGAAGGTATCAAATAGAATATATATATTATTGAAATTCAAATTCATATAGAAGATGTTATTTTCTGTAGATACTATTATCTCAAAGTAATTTTCAGCATTTACCTGCAGATCACAGTGAATATAGTCCTAGCACTTCAATAGATCAGTGAATATGAGATTGGCAGATAAGCCTGACATCAAATAGATGTGATCAAATTCAATTAATCTTTCTCTGACTAGGATAGAGACAACTTCAATCTCTTGAATCTTTAAAGTAGTCTTATTGATCACTTGAATCATAGAGCTGCTAATCTTTATTATTCAGAAAAATCACAATTGATCATCTGTAATATGACATTCAGCTCTGCTAATCTATATGATGAGTGAGTTGATGATTGATTTGACAGAGTATGCAGGCACCTCAATGACCTGCACTAGATTTATTATTTGAAACATCTCAGAGCTGTTATTTGTAGTTGACAGAGTCTTTTTGCTCTCACTACTCTTCTTATTATTATATTTCTCTATTCTTACTGTGTTGATGATTCTTCATTCTTCAG